TTGCAACCGTCTTACAGAATATATGTAAAAAAGTGGCTTACCAGATTTACACAATAAAACCAGAATACAGAATCAAAATAAAATTAATTAAAATGGTAACTAAGAACAAAGATATGAGAGAAGGCTGCCTCTAAGAAAACAGAATTTATATCCCTCTGCCTTATATTTACAACATCAATCATAGAAAAGTTTCATAATCCTAGTCCTAGAAATATATAAGTACAACCAAAGTTATGGTAAAGAAACATCTTGGATGTACGACTATGAATGGAAGCTGAGCTATCATGAAGATTGTAAACCAGATGCATCCACATGCAATACACTTAGATTTTTTTTAAAAGGGGAGGTTATAGAACTGACTGCAATGTCCTATAGATGCCAATTTGATTTAGTCATTAAACAATATATAGATTTATAGTATGGTTGTGAGCAAACTATAAGCCAATGTCTTATATACATTTATATGCTGTTGTATTGCTAATGTTGTCTTACTGTGATGTTGTTAACAAGAATGCCTTGGAAAAACAGGAACTATAATCTAATAGATTAGTTATAGAAGAATAAGTATGCTAAAATCAGTTCTTTTACTCCAAAAATCAACTATCGGCCAAATAATTCTGGTAGTTCACGAAGGGTCTCTAGGCTTTTCATACATCAAGATAAAAACTAAAATTTAGGCTTAAACAAAAGAGACTTACTACAATGTGTAAAATACATTTCAAAAATGAAAAATTCTTAAATTTCATTTGTTTATAGATATATAGATCAGGGTTTTTCAACCAGTGGTACGGGTTCCACCTGTGGTACATTGGCACCTGGCAGGTGGTACGCGACCATCCTAGAAAAGTGGTAGCGGGAGAGTGGAATAAGCTGAACCGGTGGCAGCACCGCACAAGCCTGAGCGAGAGATGGCTGGAGTTGCAGGGCTGTCAGGGCTCAGCAGAAGCGCCAGGATCAGAGCCAGGCTCCAGCTGGAGCTCGGGGCTGATCCTGGTGCTTCTGTTGAGCCGTGAAGAAGCACCAATTAGCTGGAAAGCAGCACTGATCTTGGCACTTCTGCGGAGCCCAGAAGAAGCGCCAATCAGCTGGAATGTTGCAGCTCTTCAGGGTCTTGTGATTTACATTCAGATGCTTGGCAACTGATTCATATTTATGACGGTCACAGTGTCCCAGGGTCATGTAAAATGACCAAAACCTGCTGCAACCACCCAGCAGATGGGGGGAATAAAAGCCAAACACACACCCCCCATCACCCCCGCTGCCAATCCTCAACAGAAATGCTCACAACAATGAAAACCTCGGACAGGAGGAAGAGCGCCGCCGGGCGGGCAGGCAGGTATCTTGCTCGGCTGTGGCTTGGGGGGCACTTTTTTCAGTGCCATTGTAACTTCAAACAGTCACTGAGCAAACTGTTGTAAGTTGAGGACTACCTGTACTTTTTTCCTTTTTTTTTTTTTTTGGTCATCAGGTTTTTGACACCTTGCTAGGCGACTGGTGGTACTCGGATGTTGCCATATCCTAAAAGTGGTACAATGGGTGAAAAGGTTGAAAAGCCCTAGTATAGATTACCTCTCTGTGATGAACTGATGTTCTTTTGTTTTGTTTTTTGTACTTTGTTGTTCATCTTTTGTCTAATTTGTTATGAGGATTGTGGTGGACTACAAATATATTTAAATAAGTAACCAAATGGGAATTGCATCAGATTATTCTGAGCCTTCAAGGGACAAAGGAAATGGTGGCTTCCTTGCCTATGAAACACAAGGATCTCTTATTTGATTTTTTTAGTAAATCTTACATGACATTCTTTCTAAGCTTTCTCTTTCCAAATAATATTAGATGTATATTCTTCATGAATCATGAAACTTGTGCCTTTCTGATCAGGATAGACAAAATTCAAACACAGTGACAATTGGATTTAAAATGTTGTTTTCAATGTCCTGCACTGAATTTGTAGCTCAAGGAAAATATTGGCATCCCAACCTGACATCTAGTGGTATTTTCCACACATTACACACACTTTATACTACAGATGTGTAGACAAAGCCACAGAAATATAAATGGTTGTCCACTTATACATTGAAAGTACCTGAAGGAAAAGACAAGAGTGACAGCAGAAAATGTGTCCAACTAAATGTGTCCATTAAAAAAATACAGAAAGAGTGAGATAACAGTCAAAAAGGGGAGGAGAAAAAATTTCTTGAATAAAATTAAAGAACGAGAAACTTATATAAAGATGAGCATTTTAGGTAGTGCTTGAGTTACTAAGTTGCTAAGCGGGTGTTAAGTAAACTGCTGCTGTATTGCAGTTTTTACAATTTTTCTGTCATGGTTGTTAAGCGAATCACTGCAGCTGTTAAATGAATCATGCAGTCATTAAGAAAATCTGGCATCCCCCATTGATTTTGCTTGTGGAAAGCTGACTGGAAAGGCTGCAGTTGGCAATCACATGTGAAGAGTCGGCTTTATTCAGATCAACTGAGTGTTGATCCATTGGTTGTGACAGGAATTAACTAACCAGCTTGTTGGCCCCGCCTGATGTCATGGGCTGAGAGTGTGTGACTTGCCCAAAGTCACCCCGCCAGCTTTCATGCCTGAGGCGGGACTAGAATTCACAGTCTCCTATTTTCTAACCTGGTGGCTTAAGCACTAAACGAAACTGATTCTCTATTTAGAGCAGAACATGGAAAAATTAAATGGTTCAAAACTGGGGAAGGAGAACACTACAATGTTATATTACTGCCATATTCATTTAACATATGTAAAATAGATTTAGGAGATCTGAGGGAAATATCAATCACTTCAGTTATGAAAACAACTTCAATGGCTGAACACGAGGAAGTCTTAAGCAATATCCTGCTGAAGGTGAGAATTCAAAAGCCACTCCACTGCTCAATATTTTAAAAACTAACATTATATCAATAAGCACCACCCATCAATTGAAAAGAGGTAGAGAAAAGTCTTAAAAGGTGACTGATTTTACCTTCCTAGGCTCATAAACTACCAGGAATGGTGTCAGTTGCCATGAAATAAAAATCTCTTGGACTAAAGACTACAAATGATCTAGAGGAAAGAAACACTGAAATACAGAAACATCAAACTAGAAAAGATATGTATAGATAGTCCTCAACTTACGACTAGAAATGAGCCCAAAATTTCAGATGTTAAGTGAGACAGTTGTTAAGTGAATTTTATTTCATTTTATGACCTTTCTTGCCAGAGTTGTTAGGTGAATCACTGCAGCTGTTAAATTAGTAATGTGGTTGTTAAGTGAATCTGGCCTTCCCATTGACTTTGCTTGTCAGAAGGTTGTAAAAGGTTATCACGTGACCCTGGGACACTGCAACCGTCATAAACATGAGTCAAGCACCTAAATTTTGATCACATAATCACGGTGATGCTGCAACAGTCTTAAGCAGGGATCTTCAAACTTGGTCCTTTTATGACTTGTGGACTTCCAACTCCCAGAATTCCTCAGCCAGGCATGCTGGCTGAGGAATTCTGGGAGTTGAAGTCCACAAGTCATAAAAGGGCCAAGTTTGAAGACCCCTGGTCTTAAGTGTGAAAAACAATCATGAGTCCCTTTTTTCAGTGCTGTTGTAACTTTGAACAGTCACTAAATGAACTGTTATTAAGTTGAGGACTACTTGTATTGTCAAGAACATGGTTTTCCCAGCTGTAATATAGCGCTATGAAAACTGGAACACCAGGAAGGCTAAGAATGAAAAACTGAGTTTTTGAATTGAAGTACTGAAAAACAATTTTTTAGTACAACTAGAAGAAATCAATCAATATTAGGTGAAATAAAACCAGATGAAACAAAACCAGACCACTCCTTGAAAATTTTAGCAATGAGGCTGAAGCCTGCACATTTTCATCCTTAATGAAGCAGGCAAACCAGCATCTGCATTTCCTGCGTCGGAGGAGGAGAGCACATCTTTCTCCTTCTGTCCTGGCCATTTTTTACAAAGTCACAATTGAAAGCATTTTAACAAACTGCATCACTGTCTAGTCTGGTGGCAGCAGTGCCTCAGAAAGAAAGTCCATACAGAGAATGGTAAGGACAACCGAGAAGATCATAGGAAGCTCGCTTCCTGGTATTCAGGATGCTGCTTTTAAGCACTATATGCTTAGAGCTCAAAGCATTGTTAGAGACCCCACACACCCACTTTACGGTCTGTTTCTGTTGCTCCCCTCTGGGAGGAGATTTCAAAGTATTTCTAGCAGGACTACCCGATTCTGTAATAGCTTTGTTCCCTATGTCAGGGGTAGGCAACCTTGGCTATTTTATGACTCAGGAATTCTGGGAGTTGAAGTCCACAAGTCATAAAAGAGCCAAGGTTTCCTACCCCTGCCCTATGCCATCCGTCTGGTAAACTTGCAAGATTCGTTTTTCTCGCCATGCACATGTATACATAACCTGAACTAGACTATTGTTTCTCTGTGTCATATGATATATGTGGAAAATGCATAATTCTGTATTTATTTATTTTTGTCATATTTATGTAGTGTATATTGGAGGTGGTGACCCTTTGAGAGCTGTATGCAACAAAAATTCATTTTAATGTATGACGATTAGTGTACATGCAAAGTGACAATAAAGTTATTATTCTTAGTCTTATTTTTCTTGGAAACACAATGCAAGAGATCCTCATACTTGAAAATATCAAAGGCACTCAAGAAAAGAAGGCAGCAGAGTGATCATATGGAACATTAAGTCCAATCCTTGTTTCAGTTTAGGAAGTCCCAAAACAGGACTGCTAAAATCGCTTCCATCAAAGAAGAAAGAGGTCTTGGTGTATCTCTCAAGCTCCAGATTGTTCATGCCACAGATGAGCCTCCTCTTATTTCTGATCCTTCTATGGCAGCACACCATGACATTTCAGTTACGTGGCTAACTAAAGCCATCTATTTAGTTGTCTTAATAGCAGATTGGACTAGAAGTCAGCAAAAACTCATGAAATACATCCAGTAATTTTTCTTCTCTCTGAGGTTCAACTTACCTGTCTGTATGTACTAATGATGATTTCTCTCAGGTGGTAGTGCATAGGTGTCATCGTTTCGCTCACTGTGTCCAATGCCATGTCAACCTCCTTCTTCATTCGGTGTCCCTCTGGCAATATCTGGACCACTTTCATTACCACCTGGAAAATAACAGCAAATCTTATGGCTGATGATTAAGCTTTTCCTTTCTGGAGTCTTTTTTCTCATACAGGGACTAAACACTTAGCAAAGAAAATATCTCCAGCAGATATAAGAAACACAATTTCTCTATAAAGGCAAGGTTTAGTATTTAGATATCCTTCTTGCATTGTAAAAAAAAAAAACCCAACATAAAGAGGCCTTGAGATGTATATCTCAGTGTTTCTCAGCCTTGGCAGCTTTAAGATGCATGGACTTCAACTCCCAAACTTCAACTCTGCTGATTGGGGAATTCTGGGAGTTAAAATCCATTCATCTTAAAGTATAGGTAGGAAGTCCTCAAAGTACGACCACAACTGAGCTCAACATTTCCATTGTTAAGCAAGACAGTTGTTAAATGAGTTTTGTCCCATTTAAAGATCTTTTTGCCTCAGTTGTTAAATGAATCACTGCAGTTAAGTTAGTAACCTGGTTGTTATGTGAATTGGCTTTGCTTGTGAGAAGGTTGCAAAAGGGGATCACATGATGCTGGGACACCATCATAAATATATACCAGTTGCCAAGTCCCCGAATTTTGTTCACGTGACCCCAGAGATGCTGCAATGGTTAAAAGTGTGAAAACAAGTCATAAGTCACTTTTTTAGTTATAATTTCGAATGGTAACTAAACAAATGGTTGTTAAGGACTACCTGTATTATCCTTTTATCTACTGATGATGTTTAAAATAGACAGATGCCACACTATCTATTTGCACAATAACCTTTGTCTGTAGTTCAATAAGTTCAACTTAGGAATCATTTTTTATGGTAACTGTGTGAACACCTGCAAGATGACAGGTGCAATCTCATGATCCTGGACCTGTCCCCTCTGTGCACATACAAGTACAGTACATTTACATGGCACACATGCACAAAAGAATCAAGCCGTGCCACACCTGCCATCTTGCAGAGGTTGACTTCACTGAAGACATCCATGATTCAATGGGATCTTTTGCATTCCTCCAACTATTCTATGACTGTAGAGGCAGCAGCAGAGATAGGGTGTCCTGTCCTGTTCTGGGTCCTACTTGTAATTATCTGGTTAGTAGCTGTGTTGCTTCTTGTCAAACTTTTTCCAGCCTGATTAGCAGAGTTGCTAGGATCAACTGTGTCCCTGATGTAACAGGTTTTTCTTGGGTAGCTCAAATGCAATAGTTAAGCACAAAAGGGAAGATAGTTGGAAGCCACATTTTAGTTGATCTGTCTGGCACAAGGCTATTTTAAAAAAGGGTTGCCAAAAAATGATATTAGGAGTCTTTTTAGAGTGGGCTGCCATTAGAACGCATGTGGGTCTTCATGCATTATGGAAAGTTTTGCTTTGCAGACAAATAATTCAAAAATGTTGCTCTTAATGTGTCAACACAAAGACTTTTAGTGTGCTATTAAGTGTAATTCATCTACTCAATTTTGACGTGTGTGCACATTTTGTTCATTATCTTGTTCTGAGCATTACGGTGCATAAAAAATGCAAAGGATATATTAGTTTGGATAAGTTGCTAAGCTTTGCTTGCATACACTCTCTATCTGCTCTTATCTTTTGCTTTGAGGTTAATGTTACTCATCATTTAAAAGCACCAGCAATCCATCTTTCCTTTCCTTGCCTTGCCTTGCCTTACCTTGCAACTGACTACTACTTTTATATGTGAGCAACCCACAATTGCCTAAAAAAAGGAATTGTGCAAATCTATTTATAGGATGTCACTATGAAAGTGGGGCAGCAAAACCTATGTAAAAACTGGACAGAATGCTTCAAATAATTTCAGTTTTGGTCTATGAGAACACAGCCAGTTTAGAACTCTTGTCAATGTAACATTTCAGGTTTGGTTCTTTTGTTAAAAGCTGTTCAAGGTGGCTTCTGTTTCATGCACACTCCAACTGCTAAATTAAAATACATTTTATTGAATAAATCACAAGCAGCAGGGTTGACATGAAACTCAAACTCAGCCAATGCATTTATTTATGAATGTGACGGCTCCCTGCTGGAAAAGTATTATATTAAGAAAATACAAAGCATGTATTAGAAGGCACCAACCTCAAATTCTCCTTTTGTGTATTTGGCATCAGGCACACTCACAATCTCATCCTCCGTGATTTCAGGGATTCCCTGCAACAACAGGACAGGCTTAGCCTCCTTTTTAAAGGTATGGAAAAGCTAAAACAGTGGCTCCTCCTTTAAAAAGTTGGCATATACTATGTAAGAAATACATTACAACCAGGATTAATCAACAGTTATGGATACTTCTTTTCTCTCTGTGCGGGTTTGTAAGAAATGTGTTCTTTTGTAAATCACTACATCTTGCATCTTCTAAAAAGCTTTTGATCACTGATAAACCATTTTACAGAAATCCTGTCTGGTGTGTTGGTTAAGGCAGTGGTTCTCAACCTGTGGGTCGGGACCCCATTTGGGGTCGAACGACCATTTCACGGGGGTCGCCAAACAACGCAGTCCGCCATTTTTTCCCCCTTTTCCTTAGCTGTGCTACTCCCTTTTATTCTATTGGCTTTTGAAAGCCAATAGAATAGACTCTCTTGAATAGAGTCTAATTCTATTGGCTTTCAAAAGCCAATAGGAATTGTCCAAGCTGTCTCTGCCCTGCTGAGCCCGCCAAAAGTCCCATTCTGCAAACAGTGCTGCACCAGTTGAGTAGTCCTCGACTTACGACCGGTTGAGTAGTCCTCGACTTACGACCAGTTGGGGGTCGCGGCATTAAAAAGGTTGAGAACCACTGGGTTAAGGCATTGAACTAGAGACTAGGAGATCCTAAATTCTAATTTATTTATTTATTTATTTTTAAAATTTATAAGCCGCCCCACTCCCGAAGGACTCTGGGCGGCTAACAATAAAAAACACATAAAACATAACAAAACAAACAAGACAAGCAAAGACAGTCATCCAGGGGTCAAGTTTTATAAACCCCAGGCCTGCCGGAAAAGCCAGGTCTTAAGTAGCTTACGGAAGACCAACAGGGTGGGAGCGGTCCTAATCTCCGGGGGGAGCTGGTTCCAAAGCGTGGGCGCCATCACAGAGAAGGCCCTCCTCCGCGGCCCCGCCAAATGGCACTGCTTGGCCAACGGGGCCTGAAGGAGGCCCAGCCTGTGGGATCTAACCAGACGTAGGGAACTATGAGGTAGTAGGTGGTCTCGCAAATAGCCTGGCCCTGAGCCATATAGGGCTTTAAAGTAAGAGTACTTAGGCACAGAGCAGCTGGCACAAAGCAGCTGGCACAGAGCAGCTAACTTAGGCACAGAGCAGCTGGGTGATCTTGGGCCAGTCATTTTCTCTCTGCCCTAGGAAGCAGGTAATGACAAACCACTTCCAAAATGATTTCCAAGAAAATTACAGGGACATGTCTAGGCAATCTTCAGGAGTCAAGACTGACTCAAGAGCCAAAAACAAGCACATACACACCAAAAAAAAAAAAAATTTATACCCACCCTCTCCACCAAGGACCCCCACAGCACTGCACCGGATTCTGGGATGTTTTCCTAAGTGCATATGGCAAACTTTTTAGCAAAGTTTGAGTCTAACATGAGAAGAGTATGCTCCTGCAAACTGCAGCTACAAGTATCCTTTCTTCTCCCCTTTTTCTTTGGCCTAGTTCCAGGATGAGTCCAAATTCGTTCCTAGCACCAACCTGATTGTAACGGGCCTTAGTGCATTAAGGTCATTCAGGTCATTAGGATGTGATGATGATAATAACAACACTTAGAATAATGGGATGGCTGAAAGAGTAGTGTTATGGTATACTGAAGTATACTAGTTTGTAAATGGCAGAAAGACTGGGAGTAATTCACTATAGAAATATAGCCACTGTTTTTCTGATTATGTGCAATTCAGTATGCTGCCCAAATTCCAAATAAATCAGGCTTATAATCTAGGGCAAGGGTAGGCAACCTTTGCTCTTTTATGACTCATGGAATTTTATGACTCAGGAATTCTGGGAGTTGAAGTCCATGAGTCATAAAAGAGCCAAGGTTTCCTACCCCTGATCTAGGGATAGAAACTGGCTTACTGCCAAACTAGCAACAAATTAGCAACAGTTTGCTGAGTTAGGATGAAGTAACAAGACAAGGTTGACCAAATTCCAACTCTTTCACCTAGCTATGCCATAATAAAGAAAATCGCCTTTGGCTTGGCTCTGACATATTTAAGGATAGAATTGACATGATAATAGACAAAATCTGTTTATCCTACATTATAACAAGCATTCATTCATTCTGAAAAAAACAGCTCAAGTTGTCTTCTGGCCAGAACTGAGTGAGCTGTTTCCTATGGATCTTTGTTAATTCTTTTCTCACTGAAGACCATCTTGGACATTTTCATACACCTCAATTTCCTAGGAAATAGTCTGGATAACTCTGTCTTGATTTAGCCCAGCTTGGATAATTTATATTAAAATCTTGGTCCAAAACAAAAATTAAACATGAGCATACATATCCACATTGCTTTTTTAAAAAAAATAATTCCCATGTTTTAAAAATCAAATTTGACCAGAAAGGGAAGCCATCATATTTCAACGAAGAGCAATATAATCAGAACCAGGATAAGGTCTTTTTTGGAGGGTCATCTGGAGTTGCAAACATGACAAACTTTTCTAGATGGATGAAGAGACCAATATAAATTTTAGAAAGATTAGGAAGCTTACATAGTTCCTCAGAGTGGGATCACAAAGTTTGCCAACATCTGGACAAGTTAATGTCACACTTTATATTTATTTCTTTTCCAAATATGTAGCTGCCAAAGTAGTGTGAAAAATTAAATCCCCTGATCCAGCTTTGAAACAATGTGGGATCTGATACCCTTTGCAGTAGGATTTCATTCAAGATATGAGGTCCCACTTCCTACATAACTCTAGTCAAGGGGTGTCAAACTGCCGGCCTGTGGGGGAAACTGCACCCACCCCATTACTGGCAATGGAAAAAAAGTTGTGATACGTCATGACACGTCACATGATGTTGTGAGTTTGACACCCCTGCTCTAGACTGTTCAGCCCATATTCTGCCCAGCCCATATCAAAGGAACACATACATTGAAATGCCAAAGGATGAGGACAGCAATAACCATGGCTGTTGTAGTTCTTCCTCTGCCACTGTGACAGTTGAACACAAAGGCTGTGTGAGAGTCTTCAGCCAGTGCGCCCTTCATGGCTTCCAACATCTGATCAAAGTCCTATGGACAAAACCAAAGATGACGTGAACAAACTACTCTCTTTTTTTTCAGATGGCAAAATAACTGGAACTTTTCTGTTAACTTCTAAACCACTTAAATGGATCTCACAGAAGTTAAGAAGAGTTCAAGTACTCTTCAAGTTATAACTGGTCATTTTACAAGCATTTGAAGTTATGGAACGGATGCTGTATGGCCCATAAAACATTCCTGGCCACTGTAAATGGTCACACACCCCTGCAATCACATTACATTTCAGTAAGTCAGGGTTTGTGACCAAGCCACAGTCACGTGACTGTGATTTGCTGGTTTTTTGCCAACTTCCCACAAAAACCACCCATTAAAATGAAGGGTTTCGCTTAGTGAGAGTGGCAAAAATCAGAAAATTATTTCTGGTCATATGGATGCCTTTACGTATGGCTATAATGACTTGTGACCATATTTCTGCTTTCAATTATGGTGATAAATCAAGGACTACCTGTAATTATTTACTGATTGTATATGTTCTTTAAAACTCAATCTAGGGTATAAATGATCTGTCCTTCTTCTTGGGTCTTTTTCTATTCTGAAATATTTCAGAATATTTCCTATTCTATTATAATATTATTATATTATATATATTATTATTATTATATCATTCTATTATAGTACTATAATATTTTATATTATATTATATTTCAGATATTATTTCCTATTTTCAAATATTATCATTAATGTGTTTGTGTGTATATAATAAGCTCACACAGATGTATAATTTCAATTAACAATCATTTGTTAATCATGTCAAACCAGCCCCTTCAATTTACTTTTATAGACAGAAAATTATCTCGTTTGTCAATGCCTATAATAAATGATGGACTGCACCTACATTAAGCTTCTCTGACTATTGATTATTGAATTGCAGGGCATTCAATTTCCTTCAGATTGGGCCACTTTCTTAAAATTTCATACTTATTTAAGTTCATGAAGATGGGTTACTTAAACAAGAAGCAGCACCAGCTGATGTCTCAGAATTAAAATGTGGACGTTTGAAATTGCTGAAGTGAGATGAATGTACCCAAGTGTTAGGTAAAAACAAATACATTAGCAATATTCAAATAAAACACACAGGACCCACCTTTTTTCTGAGGCACTGAGTAACAACAGAGGACTCCAATGTATTTATAGTAGTAGTAGTAGGAGTCATAATAGATTTTATTTATATACCGTGTTTCCCTGAAAGTAAGACCTACCCCAAAATAAGCCCTTGCTTAATTTGGGGGGTGGGGTGGGCCTAATATAAGCCCTATCCCAAAACTAAGCCCTAGTTTTGGGGCAAGGAGTACACCTAAAAATCAAGCTGGGGTGGGGGGTGGAGCTTACCATTGCAGCTAGGCCACCCATGGATCGACACTCACTTCTTCTGCGACCAAAGGAGCAGCTTCATTCTGCAGCTGAGAATGGAGCTCTGGCCTGCATTTCGCAGTCAGAGGCTTTTCCGGAAGGACTCTGTAGCCGAGAACCGAGATATGGATTCAATCCGTAGCTCAGTGCTCAGGTGCAGTGGCCTTCCGGAAAGGCCTCTGAGTGCGAAATGCAGGCCGGAGCTTCATTCTCAACAGCAGAATGAAGCTGCTCCCTCAGCCGCAGAAGAAGTGGGCCAGGTGGGCAGTGCTGTTGGTGCCACCATGAGTTGAGTGGAAAAGGCACCCCCCCCCAAAAAATAAGACCTGGTGCCTCTTTTGGAAGCAAAAAAAATAAAAAAATAAGACTGGGTCTTATTTTCCGGGAAACACAATAGTATTTATGCCATGACTAACCAAGTTGTGAAACTGCCTAACCCAGGGCACACTCAAGAACGAAAGGAAATACAAGCATAGTTAAAACAACCAATCTCAAAACCAAACTGCCTATTAGAATTTCACAACAAACATCCTTGTCTCTCCTTCTTTCTCTCACACACAGAGATACACCCAAACAATATCAAGAACGGCTAAAATATAGAATGCACCTTGCCAGGTGCAGCTTTTCACGTACCCCAAGCAGCAGAAGTGATATTTCTTGCTTACCTTCTCCTTCAGACCACAGAAGTCTGGAACTGGGATCCGTTTGTAGGCCAGCCCTTGGCAATTGCTTTTGTGCTGGTTAAATATCTCCTGCATGGTTAAGCATGATTTCAATATTTTCATCTGTTTCTCCTGTTCCAAATAAACCTCAATCCGTTTCTGGGATTTCAACAGATCATTCTTCAAGATAGATTCCAGTTTCTGAAGCAGTGCCAAAGAAACAAGGGAGTCATTCATCTCTTTCAGTTCTATCTTCAAGAAGTTTAATCTTCTTTCACCCGATGCCCCCCAGGTAGGTGGAATACAATGCCCACCTTTCCAACATGAAAGGAATTATAGAAATACATCTGGAGGGAACCAGGTTAGAGAGTACACTGATGCACAGAAACAAAAAACCAACTATTCACACAAGCAACCAGAGGGTTGGGTATTTCTCTGTTATGCGTACATGGAGTCTGGGCTTTCTTACAATGCATAAATTAATGGAAAACAATTCAATGAAGAAAAAAAGGCAAAAAGTCTCATTCCTGTCCAGTTTAGAATCTCTGTACATCTACAAAGTTAGTGTTGCTAACGAAACGTACATATACATCAAACGTACATAAATCAAAATCTTTTTTTTTTTATTTTTATCACTCTCTGCTATGCTAGTGTGATGTAATGGTTAGGGTGCTGAACTAAGTCCTCATTAAGCCAGCTAAATGAGTGGTTTTGTCCAGTGGTTTTGAACCTGGGTAGGGGAGAACACGATGTTGTTACAGGGGGTCCATGAAGGCTTGAAGAAATGTTACGATTGGGGATTCAGGGCCATGATCTGTGGCCACAAAAGGTATTTAAAGGGGGTGCTTGGTGAAGCAAAAGTTGAGAACCACAGGTTTAGTCACTTCCTCTAAGCCTCAAATCAGCCTCAGGCTCTACAAAAAAATAGCTGAAAAACAAAAGCCCTCAATGCATCATGCATTGATCAACATCTGAACTGCAATGAGCAAAGAGTACAAAACAACCAGGCCTTGCAACGAAGCAGGAAAAAGACTAGGAACAACGTCCGTTGTGTAGCATCTTTACATCTCTTTACTAGAAAGAAGAAAAGTGTTAATGATACCTATTTTTGTCCTTTCTTGCTCTGAACATGCGATGACACATCTTGCATACCCTTACAAGGGTGCATAGAATTTGGAAAAATATTTTTATAAAGGTCTTTGAGAATAACTGAACTGGGCTGTTGTCATGTATAAATGCAGAAAAGGGCATTCACCCACCTATTTCCAAGAAGAACGACATGACATGAAGAAATTACTTTGCCTATTATTTCTGCAGTAATCAATCCCTGTCTTTAATCACTTATTGCCCAAAACATTGTATTTTGCCAAGACTTTTGTTTCCAGAGTACACACTGAAAAATTAGAAATTATCTTCTTCTGCTCCCATGCCAAGGAATGTTTGACTAACCTTAATTTTCCTGCATTATATAAAAGAGCACTCTGCCTTTGAACATCCATTCCATATGATTATATCTGGTTAGTGAAAAGATTATTTCTCTTTTCCAGAACTGTCCATATCATACACAAAGTCTGAATGTTGCTTTGTTATTGATTAGCACAGGGGTGGGGAACTATGGCCCTTTTATGACTTGTGGACTTCCATGCTGACTCAGGTTGAAGTCCACAAGTCATAAAGGGGTCATAATTCCCCACTTCTGGATTAGCATGATGTTTTTTTTTAGAACTTAATATTACGTGCCAACTGGACCACTAAAGTTTATTCAACAATTCAAGGTTACAAAATCCTGGCTTAACACTTCAGCATCTTACAAATAAAGTAGGCAAAATGTCAATAGTGAATTATTCTTAAATATCAAATCCCAGATGATTCGGTTAGGAATCTTTCATGATATAAAAAGGATTTCATCTATGCTATGGAACAGACTCCCAATTCATAAAGATTGCTTTGTCATATTGCTTCAGAGGCCATGCTGTGATCAAAATTATACCAATCACCTACTGAGTGATGAATTTAATTTCTTTTACCATGAACATTTTGTTATTACTTTATGTTGTGAATCGACAAGAGTCTAACGGACTGCAGAAGGTGCAAACTGAATACAGGTAATCCTCATCTTACAACCATTCATTTAGCAACCGTTTGAAATGTGACTTACAACTGGTCCTTACATTTAACAGCCATTGCAGCATCCCCATAGGCATGTGATCAAAATGTGTGCACTTGGCAACTGGCATGTACTTATAACAGCATCCCTGGGTCATATGATCACCATCTGTCACTTTCCCATCTGGCTTCTGACAAGCCAAGTCAATGGGGAAAGCCAGATTTGATTAACAAAGACCTAATTCGTTTAATAATTGCAGTGATTCGCTTAACAACCATGGCAAGAACGTCATAAATTCAGGGATAACTCACTTAACAGTTGCCTTGCTAAGCAGTGGAAATTCTGGTCCCAATTCTGGTTGTAAGTTGAGGACTATCCATACATAGGTAAATTCTACAGGAAGAACAATATCCAGTAACCATTCTAAAAACAGAAAAACATTTTCCAGTTCATTTTAGGTTTAAAACATTGTTGATGATGGCAGATATGAGAAAAACTGTTATGTCAAGAATATCACAAGCATATTTATCTGCTTTAAATGTGGAATTCATCCAATTGATGTATTAAGACTATAAAATTGTGGAAGAGGAAACATCAGTAATTTTGGATTTTCTCTTCCGCCTTTTACTTGTAGAAGAGTAAGTACAAAGAAATGGGAAATTACTCAGGAGAATACAAACAAAACATGACTGGCTTCTACTACTAAAGCTCATTCTCCATTACTACACCATCTCCACAGCACACATATTCTCACTGGATATGCTATCAAGAGCTCTATGGATAGTAAGAAATTTGCTAGTAGCACAAGTGGGCAGAGGAAACAGCAGAAAGTTCAAGTATCCAAGATCTCACCTCTAGTTGTTCTGATGATGCTACGGGTACCGTTATCTGCTGTTCCAGATTGCCAATTTCCCGTAAGGTATAGGTTTGTTCGTTCTCTTCTAGAACTATATCTTCACGGAGATTAATCCATAAGATGTGAGAATGTTTCCTCTTTGCATCTGTCAAATAGTTCAAGACATTCCCAATCGCCTAAACAGAAGAACAGATCACAATGTGTTAAAAAGGAAAAGCAGAGAAATTATCTCCAAAAATCTAGAAATGATAAGCCTTGTCTTCCTATCCCTTAGGCTATTACAAATAAATCAAATGAATAAATCAAAGAACTATAGGGAACCCTTCAGCTGCTGCTGTTTCTTTCAGATCAGCCTTGATAAGAGGGTCTCTGAAGTGAAATTAGTTGAACAGAATCTTTGAGCAGACAAGTGAGCAGGGAAGTGTTGAAAACCCTTGACCATATGAGGCAAAATAGAGACAGGCAATGGGACTGAGAATTCTGATAATGGTCAAGTCAGTGGGGGAAAAAAAACATTATGATTTTCAAAAAAATTCCACAACTATTTTCAAGGAGTATCATAGAAAAGAATTTCAACGAAAAAACTTCTATTTTATGATATACTCCTGATTCTGCTAGATTCTATGAGGAATGGAATGAAATGGAATAGCTCGTACAGTATACAGGTCCTCAGTGGAAAGCAGGCTAGTTGCAATTAAGTACTAAATTGGAAAATCTAGAAGTATTAGTATAGCTTCTGTTTAAAATCCAGTTTGGGAATCAGATTTGGATTGACCTGGTCCCAACAAAATCTCTTTCTGGAAACCACACTTACTTTGGAGTTGGGCTGAGCCATTCCATACACAGGCATTTTAGGAACTCTCCGGAAATTGGCCACGTTCATGTCTTTGATGGTACTAAGAACATCTGGAGAAAACCGTTCATCCACAACCTAAAGCAGTGATAAACTTATGAAGCCTTTGTTCATTTTACGTATAAACTGAATATTTTTTATTTCTATTGTGGAACAATTTTCTTTCATCCAATGCAAAATCCAAAGGAAGGAGAGTAATAGCTAAGATTACATGAAAGAAAGAAAAAAAAACTGTTGTTTTGAGATACACAAGCTTATTGTGTTCTCCTCAAATAAGCATGGAAGAGGTAACCTATTCCTTAATTTTTTTTAAAAAAAATATGCTTTCTTATAAATGCAGGGGAGAATCTTAAGAACTTGACTATACACAAGATTGCAAATTAATTTCAAAGCAACTGAGAGGAAAAAAACAGTTAGTTCTGAACTAAGCTCAACCTCAGCAACAAGAATATTGTTATAATTAATCTATTAACTGAACTTTTGACACAATGATTTTGACACTGTAAAAGGAACACTAAGAAGGAAATCCAAAGATTAAGATGATGCAAAACAGGGCACTCACCAGCACCCGTACTCCCTTAGTTATCTGTTCCGCTGTGATTGTAAGTTCTGACAGATTCATGTTGGCTTGAAGTCTATACAGCTCAGGGTGCCTGCAGATCCATCTACTGAAATTGAGAGCAAAAGCCAAGGGATACTGCCAGCCCAGAAGAAAGAAGAAAAGGACAATTTCAGGAACAGGGGGTGATCCCAAGAACTGTACTCGTCATCACTTCAACTCCTCAAAAGATCTGGGTTTCAGGCCACTGAGGTGCATCTATTTATTTATTTATTTATTTATTTATTTATTTATTTATGTATTTATTCCTTCATTCAGTTTCTACAGCTGCCCAACTCATCTGTAATCAGTGACTCTGATTGCAATTCAAAAAATATGCTACAGTTAAAACATCAAAACATTTTCAAACAATAGAAAACAATAAAACAGCCAAAACAAATATACAAAACAGCCGAACTGCTTGGCCAGTTAGCAATATATTGTAGCTGTCAAGCACTGGGGAAATCAGGAGATTCAGGCACTTCCAATGAGTTGAAAAATTTACTGCAAAATTAAGCTCCCTACAAAATCTGAGCTATTAACTCTCAAGGGAAATGAGGGGGAATTAAGAGCCATTCAAGGTGGGATGGACATAGATGTCTTGCGGGCACACAGGAAGTCAACTTATAATGTGTTTGGCCCCTCCCTTGGGCTCAGCCTGGTCATCTCCTACAATAGCCAGGAACGGGGCCCTTTATAACTTCAGCATCCCAGGCTCAGGAATATAGCCAGGTATTTAGGGCTTTATAAAAGGCTGACAGAGTTGGAACCATTCTATTCTCCAAAGGGAGGATGTCCCATAGAGCAAGGGCCACTGCGGAAAAAGCCCGTCTTCTAGTCCCCACCAATTGACACTCTTTGCCTGACGATATTTGCAGCAGTCCATTCTACTAGATCTAATTGGATGGATAGAGGCTCATGAAAAGGGGTGATCTCTCAAGCCATGTAGGGCTTTAAAGGTGACAACCAGCATCTTGAATTGCATCCAGAAACATACCGGTAGCGCATCGCCTCCCATTTCCACTAAGGTCTATATCAGGAAAGGCTGGCTGAAGTCAGATATCTAACGGGCATCCAAAAGATGTAATAGAAGCTGCCTAACAAATTTTAGGGAAGAGGATATTTCACGGTACAAGAACCAGTGAGGGGGGAGGGGGAGGCAACATGTCACTGGCCACAAGATGGCACTCTGAAGTTTACAGCACACCCAGCAAGGAAGTACTCAACCAAGTTTAGCCAAGCAAACGTTCATCTGGGAGTCTATTCAGAGGTTGATTCAGGTCTTAGTGATGAAAGCTAAGGTGTTATTTACAACCCACATAGCTCAAGAAACTCAGGGTGGTTACAGTCATTAAATATATGTTAAAAATAAAATGAAATGTTAAGATATGAAAAGAAAACAACTGTAGTGACCTCAAATTAATAATGGAGAGACACAGATTTTCAGGAACAATAATTAATCATAGAAAGGCAGTAGCTGTTAAGTTCCAGCTGTATAGTAAAAGAGCCAGCTCTTTACCTAGCTCTAGAAAGAAAATAATGTTGGCATCAGTCTGGTTGACCAGCATAGCAGGAAAGGCACTTTGTGATACTTCCGCCAAGAAGCCATGCTGATTTATACATGTTCACATATATACATAACCATTTAGGATTTTAAATCATCATTTTAACCATTGTCTAGCCACTGTAAGATGAAGGATCTTAAGTATCATTATTAAAAACTTGAAGTCTTACAGGCAATGTAAAAATAGTCACTGTGGTTCCATTAATCCTGGTGTGATATAATCTCTACAAAGCTATATCACCTTTAGCTTCTGGGTCAACTTCATGAGTAACTTCAAATAGTTTAATCATGTGTGTTCAAGAGCATGTCCTACTATAGCAAGACGATCAGTCACTCACAAATGGTCAAACGCATATGGCTATGAGAACACTTGAACCTCAAGCAATAGGTGATCCAAAAGAATACTAATCCTGTATGTCTACTGATGGAATGCAACCCCATCTAGAACTGGAGATTTTTAACCAAATTCCTGGAAGTGTAGGCTATCAATCCACAGTACCTGTATCTTATCAAAATTTAATCATAGCTTATTTTTCTTTATCCAGTCCATTGAAGAATCCAGACATGAGTCCAACAGCTTTATTGTCTCATCTGATTTTAATGTCCAAGAAAACAAATAATGGGTATTATCCACTTATTGTTGGTACCCAAACTCTTTCTATGACTTAACAGAAAACAATGCCATACCTATGTGTAGATGTTTCACTGGTTCTCAAGTTTTCTTTTATTAGGCCTCCAATTATTTAACATTATTTATATTTTAATTTAGAACAATTGGATTTGCTCAGGTGATGATTCTGGCAACAAAAGGCAACCTTTTTTCAATAATTCGATCTGACAGATCAAGATCCAAGAGACTGCCATCAAAAAGCAATTATGAGACTGTCTTACCATCACTCTTATCAAAAAAGATGAGGAGTTCCATGTTCACATCAATTCACTGGTAGAGCATGCAGCTTCTTGTCTCATGTTTGTGTAAAATACTTTCAGATGGAGCTCAGTTATCTGATATCAAACTTCTAAAGATCTGCCTCACATACTTACAGTAACTGGTTGATGGACCTGAAGCTTGATGAGTGAGGTACCTAGATTTTTCAATTGAACTGCCTAGTCTATGGAATAAGGAACTGTAACATGGATAGGCATGATGTGATTCTCTAATGTTGTCAGAACAAACTGCAATTTCCCTATTAGCTTTACTGCCTTGAGTTAATGGGAGATGGAATTTAGTAATACCTGAACATATGAACTATACCCTGACAAACCATGAAGAAAAAGATGGGTCTTTGAGACAATATATGGCCAAACATGATTGTTATAAGTCACTGGTGTGTAGCAAGGATGATTCATAGAGGTACGCTCACCTGTTCATGAAGGTAATAATTGAAAATGATCAAGAAGAAATAACGTTCAAGTCTCTGTAATGTCTTCTGAAGGAAACACTCTTTGGTGCTGTTCTTCTACAAAAAAACAGATATAATGATCCAGGTAAATCCATACGACTTACGGAATGCTAAACCGAAAATGTACACTTTTCAGCATCTTAACTTATTCCAATGAACCAATTATATTTATGCATATATTGAGAGAGAGAGAGAGAGAGAGAGAGAGAGAGAGAGAGAGAGAGAGAGATGCAAACAAATTTGTAAATTTGCCTCTCAATGTAAATTATTACTTAACACTATGATACAATTAACACACCCTAAATATCTTTGAAGAAAATAATTTAGCAGTATCAATGCTTCTCAAATCATGGTGATATTACAGATATATATCCCTACTCTGTGATTATTGAAAGCTTCCATTTTTATTAAAAGCAAAGGGTATTAAAATTCTTGCTTTCATATCCAGCTTTATGATGGTGGTGATGATATCCATTCTTTTTGCTGTTATCACAATTACACAATTGTGGGATTTTTCACTAGCCTCTTAGAACCCCTACAAATGTTCTTTGATCTACTACATACTTTTCAGCAAAAGTATTTTTTAAGGTTGCAGCACTGTCTATCTGACTTTATATGTCCCAAGATTACAGGTACTTCTCAACTTACAACTATTCATTTAGTGACTGTTTGAAGTTACAACGGCACTGAAAAAAGTGACTTTTGACTGTTTTTCACACTTGCGACTGTTGCAGCATCCCCATACGATCAAAATTTGGAAGTTTAGCACCTGTCATATATTTATGATAGTTGCACTGTCCTGGGGTCAGCATGTTATCATCATTCAGTACAATGAGGACCCAGATTGTTGGGGGCAACGTGCTGACTCTGTAAACCACTTGGAGAGAGATGTAAAGCACTATGAAGCGGTATATAAGTCTAAGTGCTATTGCCATTAGTAATCTTCCCAACTGGCTTCTGACAAGTAAAGTCAGCAGGAGAAGACAGATTCTCTTAACAACTGCACGATTCACTTAACAACTGTGGCAAAAATATTGTAAAATGAGGTGCAACTCACTTAACAATTGTATTGCTTAGCAACAGAAATTTTGGGCTCAATTGTGGCCCTATGTTGAGGACTACCTGTAAAATCTATAACACAAATTCTTTATCGTGTTTTTTAAAACTCAGCTTCCCAACTTGGATTGTTCAACCCACTTTTAAAAAAATAATTTTAAAAAATAATAAGCAAGCAAAAAAAACAACATAAGTTTCATTTGTAGAAATCTAACTGAGCCTCAAAGATCTCAGAAAATAAAAGAGACCAAGGGGTGTACAAAATATTCTGGTCTAAGAGTTGGTAGCAAATTGGTATATGGTTATGTCACTGCAACAGGAATCTTGTGAATAAGTGAATCTCTCAGCGGCCATTTTGTGAAGATTCCAATCAAGATTGAGAATTCATGTTTAAGACCATTATTTTCTAACACAGACATCTGCCAAAGACTTCTATTCTTTGAGTAACTCAACTTTGGGAAAGCATCATTGTCCCTCCAAGAAACATAAGAGCACAATCACAGTCTCCATTATCTACCACAAACTGTATCCTCATGTCAATTTCTGTTATATTAAGTTAAGGTCAGCGATAATGATCTATTAATACCATGCCATGAATTTCAAAACTGGGTGGCAATTCAGATAAAAGAATCCTGATTTACCTCTGGTTTTTTAATTACATTGGCTCTGGATGGACACAAAACAGAGCTTGAACAAATGCAAAGAAGCTTTTTGGTTTTGGAAGAGAGAAAATTTGGCAAGGATCCACTGAAATCTTAGATTATATAATTTAATTAATATTTACTTGTTATCCTCCAAGAAAAACCTGGCCTGAAGTCATTTATCAAAAAGATTTAAGAAATGCACTTAGAAATATTTTCTAGCACAGGCTATTTCCATCCCCATGATAAAACAAGTGATAATGATGGCACAAATCCAACTATTGAAATCTCATTGCTCTCAAATGCAGAGATCCACAACAGAGTTTTAAAAATAGTATTTATAAAATGTTTTATGGTTTCCCTTGAAAAGGTATTTACTGAGATTTTATCGTACATTTAGATATGCATAAATTATGTATTCTATAAAGCCTGGTTTTATTTAAGAAGAACTACATTGGGTATACATCAAATCTCCATAACCTGTGCAACTTACCACAAAAAGATAGCAGAACAATAAGTTGTGTGAATGTGCTAGGTATTGGATATTTCGTTCCAATTTTTACAGTCCCAGAAAGTAACAAGAACAACAAGAATTCTGTCAGCCCTCATTTGGCTTAGAGACCTGCCATGTGTCATACATATATATGTTCTGCTGTTTTTCACAAGGAAGACAAAAGGATATTTTTCAAGAAAAAAAAATTCCATTGTTTAAGAAGAGCTGTTGCTCTGCTTGAATTTCATATAAACATTAACTGTGTTTATAAGTAAAGTGACTTCCAAAGGCTGATCTTACACTACATGCTGTGAGGGCAACCTGAAAAATCACTTCAAAAGTAAAGCTAAATTATTTTCACAAAACCACTGCTCAGAACAACAAAACGAGAAGAGGATCCCAGCAGGTGAAGTTCAACTTGAAGGAAGAATCTCACATCACAGTAGATATAGTAATATTAGGCCTACTCTCCAAAGAGATGGCTAAATCCAGAATAGCTCACAGGTATGAGGAAAATATTATTTAGTACATTTCTATACTACTTTCTATCAGGAGTTTGGATGCAGGTTTAATATGCAATACAGGTAGTCCCCGACTTACTACCACAATTGAGTCCAACATGCCACAAAGAAGAGGGGGTCACGTTATTCACCAAAGCACCAGAGGGAAGGATGAGAAAAAATGGCTGGAAACTGATCAAAGAGAGAAGCAATCTGGAATTAGGGAAAAACTTCCTAACAGTGAGGACAATTAACCAGTGGAACAGCTTACCACCAGAAATCGTGGGCGCTCTATTACTGGAGGTTTTTAAGAAGAGAATGGATAGTCACTTGTCTGAGATGGTATAGGTTCTCCTGCTTCAGAGGCGGGCTGGACTAGAAGACCTCCAAGGTCCCTTCCAGCTTTTTTCTATTCTAATTTTAATTTCTGTTGCTAAGCAAGACAGCTGTTAGGCGAGTTTTCCCTTATTTTATAATCTTTCTTGCCACAGTTGTAAAGTGAATCATTGCAGTTGTTAAGTTAGTAATGCGGTTGTTAAGTGAGCCTGGCTTCCCCATTGACTTGACTTGTCAGGAGGTAACAAAAGGGGATCACATGACCGCAGGATACTGGAACTGTCATAAATGTGAGTCAGTTGCCAAGTGTCTGAATTTTGATCACGTGACCGTGGGGATGCTGCAGCAGTTGTAACTGTGAAAAATGGCGATAAGTCACTTTTTTCAGTGTACTTTCACTGTAACTTCGAACTGTCACTAAAAGAATGGTTGTAAGTTGAGGACTATCTATAGATACTATTTTTTTTCCGCATTGAAACCAGGTGAACTTGTAAAGGAATTTATTCAAAAAATGGGTGACTGCCCTAAACTCCATCTATAGCTAAATAAACATTAGAATTTTAGCCTCCCCTGGGCTGGCTCCATCACTAGACAAAATAAAGCAGCAACTACTGGCCCATGTTGCTGGCCATCCTCCTGCCCCAATTTTTTCTGCTGACCTCCTTGGTTATTTCCTTCTGCTAGAGGAGAGAATAGAGTGTGCAGTTCAGCTCAACCTTTGAGCTTATTCTTAACTATTATGAAGAATACCACCTGATCATAGGTATAAATGGCTACTGGTCAAGCTTCTGTATGTGAAATGGGGTGGTGCCATTTGGTCTTCCATTGCTGCAATATAGTAGGTCAACCCTGACATACAACCACTTTATCAAATTGTTGGCAAAAGATGAACAGTTTTGAGCCTCCTCTATTTACCTGAGGCAGAAGCAAGACTAAGAATGTAAAAAGACTCTTCATTGATTAAAATAAGGCTTTCACCTATCACAGTGGTTCTCAACCTTTTTATACTGGCGACCCCGGTCATAAGCACGTGGCGCACATGCGCAACACGCATGTGCGGCGGCGCCCCCTGCGTGGCACGCCCGCACGGCGCCCCATGCACGGTGTGAATGCGCAGCGGGGCCCCCGTGCGCCGTCCCGTGCGCCGCCCCATGCGCAGGGCGCCCCCCTGCACGGCACGCATGTGCGGGGCCGCCCAATGCGCTGGCTGAGGGAAAAATGGCGGAAAAAATGGCGGATCGCGACCCACAGGTTGAGAACCGCTGACCTATCACCTAGCAAGATCAGTCACGTAACCACAGCATACAGTACCTCTATCTCTCAACTGAAGTAACTACACAGGTTAGTTGGGAACATAACACTAAATATCCTATGCTGAAGGAGTTAGTCACTCTTTCAGTGCCTTGTTAATCCAGTATAATAATAAAAATCTTTAAATGCATGAACTATTCTAAGAATAGGGATTACACTTATGAGACACCGGACTTCTTACAAAAGAATGATGATATCTTCAAAAGAACTCCCCCCCCCAAACAACCTTGTCTTGCAGAACTTGGCAATCTCATGATATTTCAGCCATTTTTAAGTATTAATTGAGCAGGGACATTTTCTATAGATGTCATAAAGGGATGTCACAGGAACATGGAGCCTTGAGGAACTGAGTTATTGACTCCTGCGATACAATGAAATTAGGCTGAAATACCCACAGAGGAAAAACAAGACAAAGACCTAACTAAGGTATATAGGCTATCTGGTACAGAAAGTTCTCCTGATGGGCTTAAAAGTCACTCTACAATTTCCTTCTCATGCCCAGAACTAGGTAGTGCACAAAGGCTGAGGCGTAGTTCCATTTTAAGCATAATACCTTGGAAGAATAATAAATCACAACAGTGATAAAACATTGAAGAGCAAGGATTTTACATCTTCAACTCCCAAGAGTTCCCTTGGAAATTCAAATAGCTTTCTGATATTCTGCATAAACATTTATCCAGTGGAAAATGTTCTGGCTTTCAGGACAAGCAGTCCTTTGTTTATAGTCATCTTTTACACCTCAAGAATTTTATAGTCTATCCTGTTTATATATCTTTAAGCAAGGGAGGGCGGGTGCTTTTAAAAGAAGAATTAAAGCCACATGTCTCTTTGTAGCTTCCTTTTGTCTTTTGTCTTTGATGATGCTACATGTTGTAACAGAAAACTACTTCTCTCGCTACAACAAAAATAAAAAATAAACTAATTGTCAGACTGAAATATTCATGATATACAGTAAAAGTAACAATGCAAGTCACTAAATCACAAAGCTACAGGTTGGCTAAGAAAAGCAAAGTGCATGAATATAGCAAGCCAATAAATAAAATGGCAAGTGTCTACGTTGAAATAATTAGCAAATTTATCATTTTTCTTAGGAGAAACTCTGAATTTGAGGATTAGCATTACATAAGCAAGCAACACATGTACTCTATGACACAATTATAAGTATCCAGTTTCAGATACAGATAGTCTTTGACTTAAAACAGTTCATTTAGTGACTGTTCAAAGTTATAACGGCACTGAAAAAAGTGACCTATGACCATTTTTCACACTTACGACCACTGCAGCATCTCTAGGGTCAAGTGATCAATATTCAGCCACTTGGCAACTGGCATGTGTTTATGACGGTTGCAGTGTCCCGGGGTTATATGATCACCTTTTGTGACCTTCTGACCAGCAAAGTCAATGGGGAAAACAGATTCACCTAACAACTTTGTTACTTAACCTAAAGACAGTGATTCACTTAAAGATGGTGGCAAGAAAGATAAAAATAAAAAAAAAAAGGGGGGGGGAAACTCACTTAAGAAATTCTCGCTCAGTAACATAAATTTTGGGCTCAATTGTCAAGGACTACCTATACTTTGAAAAACTGCACTGTTAAACATAACAGGGATACACAACAACCTTTCCTGACCTGGGGTTATCTATCTTTTAATTCTCTTGATTTCAGGTTTGATTTATAATGGCTGGGAATTAGAAGAAATAGTAATAGTAGTAAAGTTGGAAGGGACCTTGGAGGTCATCTAGTCCAACCCCCTGCTCAGGCAGGAAACCCTACACCATTTCGGACAAATGGCTGTCCAGTCTCTTCTTAAAAACTTCCAGTGTTGGAGCATTTACTGCTTCTGGAGGCAGGCTGTTCCACTGATTCATTGTTCTCACTGTCAGGAAGTTTCTCCTTAGTTCTAGGTTGCTTCTCTCCTTGATTAGTTTCCACCCGTTGCTTCTTGTCCTGCCTTCAGGTGCTTGGAAAATAGCTTAATTCCCTCTTCTTTATGGCAGCCCCTGAGATATTGGAATACTGCTATCATGTCCCCCCTTGTCCTTCTCTTCGTTAAACTAGACATACCCAATTCTAGCAACCATTCCTTATATGTTTTAGCTCCAGTCCCCTAATCATCTTTGTTGCTCTTCTCTGTACTCTTTCTAGAGTCTCAACATCTTTTTTACATCGTGGTGACCAAAACTGGATGTAGTATTCCAAGTGTGGCCTTCAACTTTAAGACAAGGGTTTTTCTTAATCTTAAAACAATATTGCTCAGCATCATCTACTAAAATTGCCATCAGTCCTCCAGAATCTGAAACAGATTTTTCCCATCGTCTATTACATGAGAACTGTTAACTGGAAATGCTGGTGATTAAATCAACAGATCTACAACTAGGACCCCTCTGAATATACCTAGCTGGTTCAACCCTGTAAGGAACTCTTTACAAGATATAATTCCTCAACTTCAACCTCCACTTTGCCTGTATGATTGTAGCTCTATTGACTTTACTTACAAGACAGATGGACTTGAAACGTACAAAAATGCCAAGAATTATATCTAAATTTTTTATTTGATTATTGGAAAATCAAATGATAGTAGCTTTTTGGAAATCTAGAAAATGAGCCTATCTAGCCCAGATGGTCTACCAATTCCTTTTCCTTTGGGGCCCCTGCCATAACCACAAATGCTAGAAACTGGTGTCATAGTTTCCTACACTTTTGAGGGAAAGGCATTCATTCCTAAAACAGATTCAGTATAATGTATAAATCAGAGATAAAACTCGAAAATCTTCAAACAGATGTTTAAACTTTGGATCCACCATTCTGCATTAAGATCTCACTGTTGTCTTGAGTATCCACAAATGCTTAGTCCAACTCTAGCCATCAAGAACGGCTGCAGGACTTGGGTTTGGCTAGTCTAAAGAAAAGAAGAAATAGGGGAGAAAGATAGCAGTGTTCCGGTATCTGAGGGGCTGCCACAGGGCAGAGGGGGTCAAACTATTCTCCAAAGCACCAGAAGGCAGGATAAGAAATAATGGTTGGAAACTGAGCAAAGAGAGAAGCAACCTGGAATTAAGGAGAAATTTTCTAACAGTGAGGACAATTAACCAGTGGAACAGCCTGCCTTCAGAAGCTGTGGGTGCTTCATCACTGGAGGCTTTTAAGAAGAGACTAGACTGTCACTTGTTTTTCCTGCTCAAGCAGGGGGCTGGACTAGAAGACCTCCAAGGCCCCTTCCAGCTCTGCTCTATTTCTATTTCTATTTCTATTCTATTTCTATCCTATTCAAAAAGGGCTCCTGATAGATCTGTTACAAGATCTGTATCCATCTACCATTCATGACACTCTTCCGATAAAAATCTAAGAATTCTAACTGTATTATAGTTAGGTATCCCCATTTTCTGAACAAGACAAATCGCAATCACAACAATCATCCAAAGTATAAATACATGAAAAACTGTGGAGAGAACTTACCACAGGGAAACTTCAGGTTATGACCATAATTGAGCCTGAAATTATGGTCATAGTTGTGTTGGTCATAAAGTAGGCCATCATGTGACCTGACCTCATTATGACCTTCTTTGTGGTGGTCATTACGTGGACACAGTGGTTGTTAAGTGAACACCATGGTCATTTTTTGCTATGAGGCAGGTTTTGCCAGAAACTAGAATTAAACATCAGTTTCTGGCAAAAGATGTTACAAATTGTGACCATGTGACTTTGAAACCAGAGGGTAAGTTCCTTTTCCAGTGTAACTTTGAATAATTGCTAAGCAACCAGTCCTAAGTTGAGGCCTATCTGTAGCACCATGAATCTTGTCACCTATTTAAAAAGAACTACTAATACCTGGTTTTGATAATCTTCTCCAATTCCTTCCAATTTCCTCTTGTATTCATACATGGCTTCCTTCACATCATGCATTTCTGAACATAAGGCAATGGCAGCATCCACCTTTGAAGGCCAAAGGGAAAACGTCAAAATCTATTTCCTTCAATCATATTTCTATTTTATCGGTGTCCTCTGTTAATGATCACCTGGAATCTCTATTTTTTTTTTTAACTGAAATGAGACATGGGCATCCACAGGCACCATGTGGTCCTTCAATTTCTGTACAAAATTTTGTACCAGTGAAGTAGGACGGGGAGACTCAAGAAATGGAGGACAGTTTCTAATCATTTCTGAGGGAGACGGGTGGTTCAGAAATATGAAATATAAATAAATTAAATAGTTTTGGGGAAGAAAAACTGCCAATTTCTTCCCCCTCTCAAAAATACACCCCTCCTTTTTCCCTATTCTCAAAATGCTGACATAAAAGACACAGCTAAAATGAAAAATGTGTGTTTGAAAAAACTTCAACATAAAAAGCTTTTAACTTACTGAAAATTAAATAAAAGGGTAGAGGAAAACTACCAGAAAAAGGAACAAAGTTTTAGCATTTTAATGCCTTGTAGGGCCAAATTAACTATTATGCTATACATGCTAAAGAACTCTTCCACCCAAAATATAATCTCTATCCTAGTTTACTTTTTACATATAATAACCACCTGTGCCCATGCCTTCAGACAGCTTCCTCAATAAAACATATCACTATTTTGTACAGCTTTCCCCAATCTCATGGCCTCCCTCAACTCTGAATACTTGGAATTCTGGGAACTACAGTCCCAAAACCTCTGAATGAGCATCCAAGTTGAGGCTCTAGTCATAATGGAGAGAACTCAATATTTATTTCTATACAATCAGGCTGTTTTCATCATTAATGGCTACATTAATGTCAAGCACCAGGGAAATCAGGAGATTCAGGCAGTTCGAATGAGTATAAAGATTTATTGCAAGCTTAAGCTCTCTACAAGAATCTGAGTTGATGACACGTTTGATCCCTCCCTCAGGCTCAGCCTGGTCATCTCCTACAATTAATATAATCAAACATAGAGAATTGCAATCACACACGCACAGAGATAAACAGATAGATAGAGACTATATAATACTTCATTTAAAGAAGGCACCATGAATTTGTCTCTGTAACTTCGGTGTTCTTCTGCTCAATTTGTGGAGTGTCCCAATCTTTATCAGAGGCTGTTACATATCGAGACAAGTAACTCTGACAATCTTCATTAGCCTCAATGAGAATAAACAGCAATGAAGCACAAGAAGATCACTGAGGCCACAGGAACAATATACAATTAAGTTTCACTCACCTCTTCCACTATCCGTTGGCCATTAGGTACCATGCTAATGAAGTTCTGAATAATCCGAAATTGTTCCCTGGGTGAATATTTGGTAGACTGTGGAAGGCTGTGACTGGATAATGTTAAAAGATATTCCTTAATGTATGTAACAAACTCTAATTTTGCTTTTGTTAAAATTATGTGATGCACTTCATGCTGCACTCGCTCACACTACTTACTGTGTTTCCCCAAAAGTAAGGTCTACCCTGCATTTTGCAGTCAGAGGCCTTTCTGGAAGGCCACTGCAGCTGAGAACCAAGCTATGCATTCAATCCATAGCTTGGGTCTTGGCTGCAGTGGCCTTTCAGAAAGGCCTTTGACTGTGAAATGCAGGCCTGAGCTCCATTCTCGGCTACAGAATGAAGCTGCTCCTTCGGCCGCAGAAGAAGTGGGCCAGCTAGGCAGGGCTGTCGGTGCCAGAAGTGAGTGGAAAAGAAACCGCCACCACCCCCGAAAATAAGACCTGCTGCCTGTTTTGGAGGCAAAAAAAAAAAAAGATCAGATCTTATTTTTGGGGAAACATGGTAGTTAAAAAAATATAAGTTCTTACCTGAAGCAAAGAATTAATTTATATACAATCTATTACATTTGGTATAGTATTGATATATTAGTATGGTACTATTACACTGAAATAAAATTAAATTTAAAAAGAAGCTGTAGCATTCAGCTTAATCAAACATGAAATCTTAATGCCCATACTGAAAATATAATGTTGTCCTATATTTTGTTCCCTTAATGTTGCATATAAAATATTGCTCAATATGGTTTCCCAAGCCATCTATTTAACACCCCTACAGATATTCAGAAATTTTGCATTTTGGATGATACCTAAAATAGTAAATTGACAATCATTATGTAAATAATGCAATTCAATCCACACTTTGCTCAGATAATATCCTAATCATATATAAGGGGAACAAGTTTCTAATTCCTTTCAATTTGTGGTAAAACAAGTCACTGAGATAGGAACAGAAAGATTCCTTTTTCATATAAGCAGATTTTCAGTGCCTATGAATAATCAAGACTTCCTTCCCATTTCATTTTAGCTCAGCAGGAGATGCTATAGAGTTCTTACTCTTGTTTTTCCAGGCCACGTTTACGGTGATAGAGGACCAGAGTTCCTAAGATCATGGCGAAATTGGTCCTCCCGACACCAGTTTGGCAACTAAAAACCAGGGCAGGAGGTGGCTTGCTGGGATCTTGGAGAAAGAGCAGATTTGGACTTTCCTGAAAGACAGAATTGTACACATTAGCTGGGCTGCCATTTGGTCAAAAGACTGGCCACCAAACAACCATGTGAGAGGAAAAATAACTTTCAGCTTCCTAAAGGTCACACGCGTTGTCTGTTGTTGCTCCAAACCAAGAGAAGGAAACATCCTTGAGTGAGCAACAAGAGGGCAATGGCTTTTCTGATCAACCTTCTTCATTCTGAACAAGCAGGAGATGGGATTTGATGGCCTGTCAGCCTCTTCTAAGCTTGATTGGTACTGATATTACCTAATTGGGTAATGAAATAGTGGTAAGAAAATAACCAAACTCAAAGGACCCCACAGGTCAACCCTGAGTTACAGATAATTCTCTTTTACTGGAGCCTCTTCTAGTTCCATTTCTACCTATTCATTCTCAAAAGGTGAATGAGATTAGCCTCAATCTATTTGGCCTTCTGGAGAGTTTTCATTATCTTTCCAGTAGGTCTCAGGATCCTTGGAAACAGGGAATCCACAAAATGGCTTTATTACTGTATATATAAGTTTTTAAACACTCTTCCTCAGTTTTGTTATATATAGGTTTCTTGCTTTCTATGTTTATTTTAAGACGTGTCTTTATTGTTTTATTTTTTATTGTTCCCTGACCAAAATCACATCTGTGATGGGTAGCTATATTAGATAGATAAATAGACAGCTAGATAGACAGACAGATATAGATTAAGCAGATGTAGTAACTGTAAGTGTAACTCTAACCCATAATATTCTATTTACATATCTTAATACACAGAATAACAGCTACTTACAAACAAATAAAAATTCTGTTGTTGTTGTTGTTGTGTGTGTGTGTGTGTGTGCGCGCACGCGCTCCTTTGAGTTAATCTTGACTCCTAGATAGAGTCCTGCAGCTTTCTTGTCAAGCTTTTGGAGGTGGATTGCCATTGTTGTCTTCTTACAGCTGAGTGGGTGACTGGCTCAAGGTCACACAGCTGGCTTAGTGCCTCCGCAGGACTAGAACTGACAGTCTCCCTATTTCTAGCCTGATACCTTAACCATTACTCCAAACTGGATTACCTTTTAACTTTATGTGGTTTAAAAAAAATCCTTATGTGAAGCCTCATGTTATTTTTAAAAGTCAATCATTTTTCAGAAAAACGAATGAAACATTCTCCCAAGAAAATATGCACACAATTGCAACTGAATGGCTTATTTCCCAAAACGAGGAAAGCCTCTCTCCTTCTTGTAATCAAATTAACTTTAACCCTGAATTGTTCCCATAACACTTTACATATTTTTAGTATCTCCCAAAACTGTCTCCAGCCTTAGCAAAATAATGTAACATCCAAAGTAAATACAAGCACTGTAGCTAGCAATTTGATGCCCATTAATTAAATTCAGTATTAAAGATTTGATCCAACCCCCCAAAACTAAGCATTTATTTTAATGGTTTTCTGATAAACAAGCCTTTCTAAGCTTAATTTCTTGCTGGCTTGTGCAGTAATTCTTTTTACAGTGTGTGTGGGGGGGGGATATTAAGCTTTTTACGTTTTGCACAAAACCATACAGTAAGTCATGATCCTAAAGCAAATACAGGCAAATGCGTGTTTTCAAACACCAGCTACAGGGATCCAGAAATAGACACATGAATCTACACTGGGCAAATGTAAATACAGAGGAGGAAAAGCAAATGTTTGTAGTATCTCCACCCAACAGGAAGAATTTTCAGCTTCTGCTAACAAGCATCTTGCATATGTTTCCTTTTCCAACTCAGCTTATTAAATAAAATACAGATTGTAGATTAACATCAGGCCTTACCCGAAGGAAACTGATGAAAGCATCAAACTGTGTGTCTAAAGGAGCTCCATCCATAGGCAAAGGCAGACGATGGTACCTACCAAGAAGAATGAATTATTTCCAGTTTTTGAAAACACCTTCAGTCAAAATGCAGGCAAGCTTTGAAAGTATTCTTGGATAGAGACATTTAGAAAACATTTAATTCAACATATTGGCACGATGAAAAGAAGGAATTTAGGTATAATGTTGCTTACCTACTGCTTTCTCATGTGACTGTTTCAATTATACATTTCTGAATAAAAGCCAGGGCTTTATTTTTAACTATAACAAATTTTAACCATCACATCCTTTATTCATCCGTTGTCTGTTGAAAAAGATACAGTTTGGCTAAATTTACAAAATGCATTAAATCAAAACTGAACAAACGATGGGTAGTCCTCAATTCATGAGCGTAATGGAGCCTTCCTATTACAGTCATAATTTGTGATGTTCGTAAAGTGGGTCATCATGACTTGATTTTATGGCCTTTGGGGGAATCATCATTAGAATAACGGGATAACAGATTTGGAAGGGACTTTGGAAGACTTCTATCTCGTCTAACCCCCTGTTCAAGCAGGAGACCCTCTCACCTCTGATGTACACAGGCAATTTAATTTGCCCTCCATATTCCATTTCCACTGTCATTTTTCAAATATTTATAATGCCCTGCCTCATTGATGGGGAAAACAGAAGGAGCTTCACTGACTAAATAAGGATATATGTGGAAGACAGAGACCTCAAACAGTGGGAGAAGAAATAATCAATGTAAAAGATTTTTTTTCCTTCCCTTTCTCAAACAGAAAACAATACATAATCTATATTGCAATGGGTCTAAATGTGACAGGCTGAATAATTTTGGTTTAAAAACAATTGGTCTTTCCAGACAATGAGCTGGATTCAAAATCTGTCAAAGTTGTGCTACTAAAGCAGGGGTAAGCAACCTTGGCTCTTTTATGACTTGTGGACTTCAACTCCCAGAATTCCTGAGCCAGCCATGCTGAGGGGAAAGGGAGAGGTTTCCAAGCTGAGCCATGCTGACTCAGGAATTCTGGGAGTTGAAGTCCACGAGTCATAAAAGAGCCAAGGTTGCCTACTCCTGCATTAAAGTCAGCAAAATCTGTTAGATTCAGTCCTGTTGATTCAAAGGGATAAATCTATTTCAATGTCTACCCTAAACATAGTCAGGTCTGCTTCCAACCCCTAACTTTAGAAAACAGCAGACTATTAAGCTGCTTAATAGTGCTGAAGCACTTCTATAACAAGAGGCAATCCAGCCATGGTTTCCGTGCAAAAAAATGATAAATAGGCAGCTTTAGTGATTGGTTTGGTAGCTTCCTGGAGACCTTTGTGTGGCATGGGTGTAGGTCACAAAGGTGGAGGAGCAGGTGCCCTTTGATAGGAGGATAAGGGAGGTGGGTCATCTCCTTGGGAATTCTAATGGCTTTATGATTTCAGCCCTGCAGGCTAAAGTGTCAGTTACTGTCAGTTATCAGTGTGAAGATGCCTTCCTAGAGGTAAGTTGCTCTTCAGTGGGGCTCCTGGACTCTGGGGAAGCTTCCCTCTTTTTTGTAGCCAACTCTTAGAGGAGAGTTTGATTTAGGATGAGGGTGAGAGCAAGAATGTTAGAAAGAGGATGAGGGTGAAAAGGTGAGGGACAGGCTGAGAGGGAGCATGAGTGAGGTTGAGAGTCAGGGTCAGGATGAGGGGGAGGGGAAAGGGAGGGGTATGGGTATGGGAAATGGAAGATAAAAAGGGGAGGGGAGGATCAGGGAAGGATCAGGGAAGGGTGAAAGGAAGAGGGGGATGGGTAGGAGATGTGAGGTGAGGGGGAGAGAGAAGGGGGACAGGACAAAGAGAGAAGGGAAGGGAGGAGAATGAAGAAAGGAAAAAAGGAAAAAGGAGGGGGACGAAGAAGTGAAGTGGGTGCAGTAGGAAAGGGGAGGGGAGGTTGACAGGACAGGGAGAGAAGGAAGGGTAGTCACAAATAGGAAGGGGGGAATGCTAATGCCTTTATGACTTCATCCAGGCAGGTATATTACCAGAATTAAGGGAGAGGGAGGGAGGGAGAGGAGGAGGGGAAGGGAGGAGGGGAGGGGAGAGGAGGAGAAGTGAGGAGGCTAGGGAAGGGGTGGACATGGAGTAGCAAGGGGAGGGGATGGGGAGAGGGAAGGGAAGAGAAGGGCAGGGAAGAACAATTGGGAGCAGGGTGAATTTTAATGTTTTCATGACTTCATCCATTGCAGATTAGCAGAGATAAGTGAGCAAAAGAGAGGGAGGGTGAGGGAAATGGAAGGAGAGAGGCAGGGGCAGCAGGGGAGGGGTATAGGTATGAGAAGGGGGGGGAGACAAATAGGTGGGCGGGGACAGGGAGGAGAAGGCAGGACTGAGGGAGGACAAGGGCAACGGGGATGTGGAGGTGGACAGGTAAAGGTGAGAGATGGGGACACGGACAAGCAGGGGAAGTGACACTGGTGTAGGGAAGGGTTAGAGGCAAGGGCAGGGCAAGAAAAATAGAATTAGATTAGAATTAATATAGAATTAGAATTAAGGAATAGAATAGAATAGAACAGAATAGAATCTACAATAGCATTAGAATAGAACTAGAATTATAGAATTAGAATAGAATTTAGAATAAGATAGAATTAAAATTATAATAGACTTAGAATTTGGAATATGATAGAACATAATAAAATTAGAAACAATAGAACAAAATTAGAATTAAAAGGAAAAAATAAGAATTAGAATTTGAGCAGAATTAGAATAGAAATAGAATATAAGAGATTTTGAGAGAATAGAAAGAATCACATTAGAAAAATATTAGAACTGGAAGTACAGAATGAGATGTAAAATAGAATTAGAATAGAATTACAATTAGAACAATTCTATACAATAGTACAGAACAGAATTAGAATGGAACAGAATTAGAGGAGAATTAAATAGAAATGAGCAGAATTAATATTAGAATTGGAAGATAAGCATAGAACTATAGCACAATTAGAATAAAATAGAATAGAAATAGAAATAGAATGGAAATAGAGTACAATAGAATTAGAATAAAATTAGATTAGAATTAGAAACAGAAGAGAATAAGAATTGAATTAAGAATTAGAGTAGAATGGAATTAAAATAGAATTAAAATTAGAATACAATTGGAATTAGAATTAGAATAGAAATGGAATGGAATTTGAATAGATTAGAATTAGAATTAGTACAGACTTAGAATTACAATTACAATTTGAATAGAATTAGAATACTATAGAATTAAGTAAACACAGCAATCGTTAAGCGAACTCACTGTTCTCTATGGAGTGTTTTTGTCAAAAACCAGAAGTAAAAGCCGTTTTCTGCAAAAACGTCATCAATTGTGGTCATATGACCACAGGACACTGCAAATAGCTGTACCAAGTTTGCCAACAGGCTCAAATGGGGGGACAGCTGGGTTGTAAGTAGCCCTGGAGAGGTCCATTGTAATTTTGAAGGGTTGCTAAGCAACCAGTCATAAGTCTGTACATTATACTGGGACAATTTGCTAATCCAGTCACTTTATAATACAGAGATAGATAACCAGATGTCTGTGGGCAGCAATCTATAATAATCTACAGCCTGGACATTCTGGAAAGCTGCTTGTATTTCCAACGTTAATTTTGATACACTTAATTAGAAATAACAAATTTGAGTGGTACCAGGTTCCAGCACCTGAAACCATAAGTTTCCTTAAACATGGGGGGAAGAGGAAAAGCTACATTTAACCCTAAAAAAGCCCATGGAAGCTAGGATGGTACTAAATATCCTGGAGATCAACCAGATTAGTTTCAAGAAACTGTTATGACTTTGTCTTCCAGGAAATATTTTCTATCCACGTGACAGGCCACACTTACTGTGTGGCAGTCAGTTTGAATCTCGACACCAAGTAAGAGCAGCCAGGCTTTTGCTCTAAATTTTAATAAACCTATCAGCTCGAAGAGATGCCCTACGTTCTTGGAATACAGATAGTTCTCGACTTACGACTACAATTGAGCCCAAAATTTCTGTTGCTAAGCGAGGCAGATTTTATGACTTTTCTTGTCACAGCTGTTAAGTGAATCGCTGCAGTTGTTAACTGAATCATGGGGTCGTGAAGTAAATCTGGCTTCCACTGACGACTTTGCTTGCTGGAAGCCAGTTGAGAAGGGTTCAAATGGCTATCACATGACCCCAGGATAATGCAACTGTCATAAATACATGCCAGTTGCCAAGCGCCGAATTTTGATCAAGTGACCACGGGGATGCTGCAATAGTCCTAAGTGTGAAAACCAGTAGTGTCACTTTTTTCAGTGCTGTTGTAACTTCAAACTGTCAGTAAATAAATAGTTGTAAGTTGAGGACTACTTGTAATGTTTTGTAATGCTGCTATTTAGATAAAACAGAGAGTGCTGAAAAGAAATAAGGTCTAAGTTAGTAAAATTATTTATTAATAAGGACAAGATTCTCTTCCACCGAAATTTACCTATAAGATGGCAACAGGAAGACAGGTCTCTTGTACACTTCCTCCGTCACCTGGATGTCTTCTTCACAGAAAATTTTGACTGAATGTGGCTCATCTTTGAAATGTTCAGTATCATTGTAGACATAATATATATTCTCACTCAGCTGGGCAAAGTCATGGATCTTCAACAGATAAATCCAAGAAACCAACCTGAGAAGAGGCTTGCTTTATAAAACATTATCTACAACCTGTTGTATGCAGTTTTCTTCCTTAGACCTACTTGCTGACTTTGCTAAATGGTTCGCCCTAGAGATACAAAGGAAAAGGCTCTGGTCCTACTCATCTCAACTTGTTCATGAAGACATTATAGGACCAATATTAAGATTGGATAATAAGACCACTAAGATACCAAGATACATGCCAGATAGGTTTCTATTGTGTTGTGCAGATATCTAAAATGGAATCAATAGTACAGAAAAGTTAAAAGGACACCATGCAATTTGATAGCCATTCTCATTCCCAAATTTAAACCCCTGAGAAATATTTTGTACTATTGTGATGACTCCTCCCCCTCCCTGGATGCTTCCCCAGATACCTCTCCAGATGGCAGCTCAGAGGATGAACCACTTCCAGGCATGTCTGGAGGGGAGTTGGTCAATGGCTCTGAGCAGCCGTCTGAGAGGGATTTGGCTAAAGCACAGCTGTAGCAGAACAGCCCTGAGGCTTTGGGTGGGGAAAGCATGCAGATGCAGCTGGTCAGCAATAAGGAAGAAGAACTGCCTTCTTTACCTGATCCGAGAACATGTAGGGCAGAGAAAAGTCAGGCGCAGCAAAGGTCAGCCAGATTACTTGTGAGGAGGAAGCCTCACCCTTTTGATGGGCTGCACCAGAAGCTGGCTATTTAGCACAGCAGTCAGGTGGAGGTGATGCTGGGAATATGTTTATTTCCTAGCTGCATTTTTCCTGCCTTGCTTTAGATCAGGGGTGTCAAACTCGTGACGTCACGTGAAGTCGTGCAACGTATTTTGCCATTGCCGACAATGGGGTGGGCATGGCTTCTGGATGACGCATCCAGCCCATGGGCCGGCAGTTTGACACCCTTGCTTTAGGTTGACACCATGCCTGGATTGTGCCTTGTGACTTTTCTTGCCTCGTGAACCCTCTTGTATTATGGATTTAACTTTGCCTGGTGGATTTCTCTTGTTTGGGAAACTTTAAAGTGCCTTGTGGACTCATTGGCCAGTGCTCTGTGGACTAGCATTGGCCTGCTTTTGGCTGGACGTTGGACAGTTCTGGGGGGTTTTTTGAAGAGAATTGCTGGGGAATATTAATAAACCCACTAAACCACCATTACATGTGCGTGTGAGTGAGTGGGACAGCACAACTATATAATAATGTAATTAAAGCTGTATTACTTCTTTAAATAAAAATTTAAAAGCAATAGTGTCTGGAAAAAAATAAGTCAGAATACTCAAAATAAAAGACACGTAATGGGCTAAGAAAGCAGAAGTTATAGACTAAATGATATTACAGGCAGTTTTGAGTTATGACCACAACTGAGCCCAGAATTTCAGTCATAAGTCATTGTGGTTAAGTCAAGACATCACATAACCAGACTTTATTTTATAATCATATTTAAAATGATTCTAAGTCTCCAAAGTTGTTAAATAAATCATGTGGTCATTAGACAAGACATACAGTTGTTAAGTGAATCCAGCATATCCAAAGGTTGGAGGTTTTTGCCATTTTCTGGCAGAAAATGGCAAAACAAAAGTCACAAATTGTGAGATGTGACTGCAATTTGGTTGTAAATGTGAGCTGACTGCCTGAAGCACCAGAAATGCAATCACATGACCACAAGGAGGAGTGGGCAGTCATAATTCTGACGATGGGTCATCAGAAGCTTTTTTTAAAGTCTGTTGTAACGTCAAATGGTCATTAAACAACAGTTCACAAGTTCAAGAATTACCCGTAATAAAAGTGGGAAAATATATCTCAAGCAAATCTCAAATGTAGTGCGCCTTCATGCAGCTCTGAAAAATCACCTCTTTTCGAATAGAGATTTCCAGGTCTTCTACTTTAACTCCTGTTTGCAGATTGTGTAGGTTCTCCTTCAAGTTCTCCTTTGCTCTTGGAGTGTAGGGGATGAAATCATTGTCCATCCGCAGAAAAAGTACAGGTTCTTCACGAACGCAAAACACAATGCATTCCTGCTATGACAAAGAGAACTGTGTTGGCTAAATTCTCAATAGAGCAGTGGTTCTCAACCTGTGGGTCGGGACCCCATTTGGAGTCGAATGACCATTTCATGGGGGTCGCCAAACAACGCAGTCCGCCATTTTTTTCCCCCTTTTCCTTAGCTGTGCTACTCCTTTTTATTCTACTGGCTTTTGAAAGCCAACAGAATAGACTCTCTTGAATAGAGTCTAATTCTATTGGCTTTCAAAAGCCAATAGGAATTGTCCAGGCTGTCTCTGCCCTGCTGAGCCTGCCAAAAGTCCCATTCTGCAAACGGTGCTGCACTAGTTGAGTAGTCCTCAACTTACGACCGGTTGAGTAGTCCTCGACTTACGACCAGTTGGGGGTCGCGGCATTAAAAAGGTTGAGAACCACTGCAATAGAGAGTAGAGAAATGCTGATTTACATACAAAGCTTTTTGTGTCTGCAGTAATTATCTACAAGTTTGGACTTCACTGAGATGTTCTGCACATTGTCCTTCAGGGCACTTGTTCAAGGGCAAACCTCTAGGTGTGCAAGAGAAGGGGCGTTGTCTTACCTGAACGCCTTTTCTCAGCAGGATGATGTAGAGTCCAAATGGATGGGTTCTATGACGGCCTTCCTGCCTGGCAGACTGGGTAAAAACTTCGGCCACACCCCTTCCTTTGGGCGTGACCCCAGTTTTGACTTAGGTGAGAAACTTTGTTGGAATTAACATTGCAGCTCTTTATTATATCGTTATTATCTCCCTGCCTAGACCTATCCTCTGGGTGGGCTTGGACTCTACATCATCCTGCTGAGAAAAGGCGTTCAGGTAAGACAACGCCCCTTCTCCAGCAGGATGGCTGTAGAGTCCAAATGGATGGGACATACCAAAGCCCTCATGTCCCCCTGGGAGGGAATGTCTAGGCTACCGAACTCTGAGCAGATACGACTTGTTGAAGAACTCTTCTGCCAAAAGCCGCGTCTGCTGCTGCTAGGGAATCTAAACGGTAATGTCGAATGAAAACCGAAGGTGAGGACCAGGTTGCGGCCCTGCAAATCTCTTCCACCGGAGCTTGTGTTAGCCACGCCGCAGATGTGGCTGCGCTCCGAGTTGAGTGGGCAGTCACCTGAGTGGGTGCTGGCAAATCCTGTGAGACGTATGCCTGTGCTATGCAGGCTCTGATCCACCTGCCTATGGTGGAAGGAGACACCTTCTTTCCCATAGTTGCTGGTTGAAAGGACACAAATAATGCTTCAGTCTTTCGGAAAGCCGAGGTGCGTTTCACGTAGAAACACAGCGCTCTCCGCACGTCTAGCTTGTGCCATCTGTGTTCTAGCCTATGTTTGGGTCTTGGACAGAAATCAGGAAGCGTAAGTTCCTGAGATCTGTGAAAGATGCTATTTACCTTCGGAATGAAGGTCGGGTCTGGTCTAAGAACGACCCTGTCTTTGAAAAAGGTACACAGATCCTTCCTTACTGACAGTGCTGCAAGTTCTGAGATTCTCCTTGCTGAAGTAATTGCCACAAGGAAAGATACCTTCAGTGATAGGTGATGGAGTGAGCATGTTTCAAGAGGTTCGAAGGGTGCTGATGTCAAGGCTAGAAGGACCTTAGGCAGGTTCCAGGACGGGTACCTGTGTATGACTGGGGGCTTTGTGTTAGATGCCCCTTTTAAAAAGGCACTAATCGCTGGATGCTGTGCTAGGGAAGTTAAGTTGTCGCAGGAGAGTACAGTTGAGAGGGCCGATATCTGTCTGCGGATGGTATTGACTGACAGGCCCTTATTAAGACCCTCCAATAGGTAATCTAGGATGTTAGGGATAGATACTGCGGTCGGGTCTAGGTGAAGCGAAGTGCACCACCTACAAAATCCCTTCCATGTAGCGTCGTAAATCCTATTAGTGGACGCTCTTCGTGATGCCTGTATGATCGATATCACCCCTGCCGAATAAGATTGTTTAGTTAAGCTTTGCCGCTCAAATGCCAAGCGGCTAGATGTAGCCACTGGGGATCTGGGTGTACAAGCTTGCCCTGACTGAGTTTTACCCTGTCCGGGGGAATCCTCCACGGAGGTGATATCGAAAGGTCCACGAGGTCGGCAAACCACGGGCGCCGTGGCCAGTGAGGGGCAATGCAGACCATCTCTGCGCCCTCTAGGATCATCTTGCGTATGGTCGCCGGTATTAATGGCAGCGGTGGGAAGGCGTACAGAAGTTGCGCCGGCCACCGGCACCTGAGAGCATCCGTTCCCTCCGATCCCGGGGACGGGAATCTGGAGAAGAACCTGGGGAGTTGTGTGTTCTTGTGGTTGGCAAATAGATCTAGGTGCGGATGTCCGAACCTCCGGGAGATCTCCTCGAAGAGAACCGGGTCCAGACGCCATTCCGACTGGTCCACCTTGGCTCTGCTCAGGGAGTCTGCCTGGGTGTTTGTCTCCCCTGAGATGTGTTCCGCTCTGATGGAACTCACATTGGTTTCTGCCCATCGGGCCAGAGCCAATGCTTCCTTCATTAGTTCCACTGATCTCGTTCCTCCCTCCTTGTTTACATGTGCCTTGGCTGCTACATTGTCTGTAAGCACGAGGACGTGCCTCCTCGTTACTAGGTGAGAGAAATGACGGAGGGCCAGGCGTATGGCCCGGAGCTCTAGCCAGTTGATGCTGTGTGACAGGTCCTTCTGTCCCCACTGGCCCTGTGCTATCTGGGTTCCCAGGTGGGCCCCCCATCCGAACAGGCTCGCGTCTGTCGTGAGTGTGACCCTGTTCGGTTCCCTGAATATGCTCCCCTTGAGTGTCGTGGGGGATAGCCACCATTTTAGTGATTTCATCACCTGTGCTGGTACCAGCACCCTCTTGCTGGAGGTGCTGAGGTTCCTCCTCTGGTAGGGTAGGAGGAACCACTGCAACTCCCTCGAGTGGAGCCTTGCCCATGGGATGATGCCCATGCAAGATATCATCTTCCCCAGGAGCTTCGAGAGTTGTAGCAAGGGCACTCTCCTGATCCTTTGAATTTGGTGAATTAGCTTGGATATGTTGATCAGTCGCTCCTGGGAAAGGTATACCCTGCACTGTGACGTGTCTATCACCGCGCCCAGGTGTTGCAGTCTCCTTGAGGGAATGAGGTGGCTCTTGTTTAGATTGACCGAGAATCCGTGCCCCTGTAGGGTTCGGATTGTGGTCTCGAGATCTGCCCTTGCTTGCTCCCGAGATCTGGATTGAATCAAGATGTCGTCCAGATAAAACTGAACGCGAACCGGGATCAACCTGAGATGGGCCGCTATTACAGCTAGGATCTTGGTGAATACCCTTGGTGCTGATGATAGCCCGAAGGGTAATGCCCTGTATTGGTAATGTCGACCCGCGTAGGTAAATCTGAGGAATTTCCGGTAGCTGGGATGGATGGGAATGTGTAGGTACGCCTCTGTGAGATCTATTGAGGATAATAGATCGTCTTCCCTGACGCTGGCTAGGATGGATTTCAAGGAGTGCATCTTGAACCTCCTGTACTTTATGAAATAGTTCAGGCCCTTCAGGTCCAAGATTGCTCTCCACCCTCCTGATGTCTTTGGGATGACGAAGAGGATAGAGTAAAATCCTCTTCCCTCCTCCTCCTTTGGTACCTTCTCTATGGCCTGGATTGACAGAAGGTGGGCTATGGCCGAAGTTATCAGCCTCGTCTTGTGTGCTCTTCTGGAGATGGGACATCTGATGAACCGGTTTGGTGGGGGAGAACAGAAGTCTAAGGTCAGACCATGCCTGATCGTTTCCAGAACCCAGGCGTCGGTCGTGGTCTGCTCCCAGACCTCGATGAAATTTCCTAACCGACCCCCAATGGGAGTATCCTGTTTGGCGTCACTTGGTACGCTTAAAGGATCTGCCTCCCGCTCCCCTATATGGGCGTCTGGACTGGAACTGGCCCCTGGCTCCCGGGCTCTGGCGATCCTGGGTTCGATCCTGTCTGGGGTAGAAGGATCGTGAGCCTCTGGGCCAGTCCCAGGATTGCCCTGATCGAAAGGGCTGTCTCCATTCCCAGGGGCTTCCTGGGCGGGAGCCCTGTCTCCGGAAGTCCTGACTGCCTCTCCTGTCTAACTTCTTTGATGGATGTACTAGGATTTTTTTCTTGTCTCTGCCTTCGCTGACATGTGGGTCCAGAATGGAACCAAATAGGGCTACTCCACTGTATTTGGACGTCGAAAGACGCCATTTGGACCTCAGGTCTGTCTTCCAATTTTTGAGCCATAGTAGCCTACGTGAGGCCACTGTGGCCGCAATGGATCTAGCCACATACTTTGTTGCGTACAGTGAAGCGTCAGAGACAAATTGCGAGGCCGCGAGGAGCTTGGCCAATGTTTGGTGTACTCTGACCTGGTCTGGAGGCACCGTGCCTTGCAGTTCCCTCAGCCACATGATACTGGCCCTCGCGAAGAATGATGATGAAGTGGCTGCTCTGGCCGCCCAGGCTGCAGCCATATGGGAACGCCGGAGGGAGTGTTCAAATTTCTTCTCCTCAGGTCTCAAGACCTCCGCCATGTCTCCTGGAATCGCGGAGGTAGAAAATAATGAAATTAAGGGGTTATCTACAGCAGGAACCTCTAACATGTTAGAGAAGGAGGGAGATAGGTTGAAAAGCTTTCTTTCCGCGCTGTTAGGTGCCGGTGGGCTTGCAAGTGAGGACCATTGTTCTTCCAGCGTGGTCATAAAGACCTCCGCACATGGAATGTACTTATCTTGTGGAACCTTTTTGGCAAACAGAGGATTGGCCTCCTTGCTTATTGAGGGCTTCTCATCCTGTACTGATGTTAGGTTGACTGTGGAAACAGCCTTTACCAGGAGTGATTTTAGGAGCGCTGGGTTAAAGAGGCCAGAGCTCGTCGCCTGCTCAGGTGCAGTCTCCTCGTCCTCCGAGAGGGGCATGTCTGACATGTCAAGGTCCACTGAGCCACCCTCTCCCAGTTGAGAGGAAGTTTCAGAGGTGCTGGTAGGGGGTGGCCTAGCCCGACCCTTACGGGGTGTGTGAAAGGCCACTTGCCCCTTAGAAGCCATGAACTGGGAGAATGCATCCTGCATGAATGCATGAAATTGTGCCGACCATATGTTCTCCTGCGCCTTGTCGCTGGAGTGAGGCGCTGGAGTGTGGTTGGGTGAAGAAGCTGGTGAGGAGGGATTGGAGGAGTCTAACTGTTCAGTTTCCCCAGGAGGAGACCAAGTCTTGAGCACTTCCTCGGCAGTAGGTTCTGTGCTGGGTGCCACCGCTGGGACAGGGGAAACCAAATTTGTCCCATTGGCATTGGTTCTCTGTGCCCTCCAAATGTCTCCTCAAAGCCTCTCGCTCAGCCGTTTTAGACTGTCCCTTCTGAGAAAGGTGCTTTGTTTTAGCTTTCTTCTTCCCCCCCACCTCTGATTCAGAAGATCTGCGTTTTTGTTGTTGCTGTGGGGGGGACAATTGAGGGACCTGTGTGACTGAATACGAGACATTGTCTGCCATTGTGCCAGACACCCCGAGTAGGTAATGCCTGGAGTGGGGGAATAAGATACGCAGATCAGATGCAGATGCTTGGGGCTGAGCCCTCCTCTGCCTATACAAACAATGGCCGGACAGACAGGAGTCTTTGGACAGAAGATCCTGCAAGGCAGTGACTAAAGGCCACTATAGGAACAGTCAGGGAAAAATGCTCCTCCTCACCTCCTCACCTAGTCCAGACAAAGTGCAGTTTATATCTCTCTCTCCCCCAGTCTGTGGCTGTGGCAACAGACCACGATCAGAACGGTTCTCTTTCTTTTCCCTCTTCCTTCCTCTTGTCTCAATTTCTTGAGATAACCACAGATCCTAGCATAAGGGCTCCCCCTTTGTCTGCAGGGAAATGGAATCCGGGTGGTGGCCCCGCCCCCAAGGGAAAAACGGCGGGTAGATCCGTTCGTTCAAAATGGCGAATGGGGAAGAAGCCACGCCTCCCAATGGTAGCCCGGGAATCCACGAGGTTCAAAACAATGGCGGATCTTTGACTTTGGCAATCAGTAAGACTCCTTTAGTCTTAAGGGGCTGCGCCTCTCCTTTAAGGAGAAAGAAATTCTCGCGCTAGTTCTGCTCTTGTCGGGCTGCTTCTCGCGCCGCTCAGCTGGTCTATGCCGAGCGGCGCCGCGGTTTGCCGCTTTCCGCGCGGCTCAGCTGTTTCGCGCTGAGCGGCGCCTCGTTCTATCGGCCAAACCACTCAGCTGTTTGGCGGACCCGGAGGGCGACGAGCAACCCGGTGTGAGACCCCTGCGCCAAACAGCTGCTCGGCGGGCCGGAAATCGGCGAGCGATCCGGCCCGGCTCCAAGCCTCCCGTAAGTCCCTGACGCCCCACTCACGAGTCCGCCGATCCTGGCTGCCTCTCTCGAGTCCTATCAGCTGCCAGGAAACTTTTCTTTCAACTGGAGGAAGAGGGGATTCCTTTTCTCTCTTCTTTTTTTTTTTTTTTTTGAGTTAAATTAGTTTTGTTCTGAGAGCTGCCTCTCGCACTTCTACCAGGCTTCGAGACTGAGTCAAAACTGGGGTCACGCCCAAAGGAAGGGGTGTGGCCGAAGTTTTTACCCAGTCTGCCAGGCAGGAAGGCCGTCATAGAACCCATCCATTTGGACTCTACAGCCATCCTGCTGGAGAACAAGAAATACACTGCAAGAATCAGATTTCTCTTGTAGTTAGGGAAAAATCAAAAATATGTCAAAATGCCTATGGGAGAAAAAATAGGAGTTCCAGTGTTTTCTCCCATCTAATAACAAGTGGATAAAAGCATGTCTACACGTCTACAATGCAGGTGCATTTGAACCCTGTTTGTGAGAAGGATACATGGGGGCTACAAGGGTGCTTTTGCGTAACTTTGTCACGACACAAACAGGAATGCTAAACTTTCAGCCACTGTTTAAACAGAGGTGTCCAACCTTGGCAATTTTAAGACTTGAGGACTTCAACTCCCAACATTCCCCAGCCAGCCAGCCACCTATCTCAGTTTGGCTTTCTTTCATTTACAGACCTTATGACCATCATTCTGGAGCTTCTGCAGGACTTGCTTGAATCCACCAAAGCTGGGCTGCCCCATCCCAAACACTGCATATCCTCCTTTGGCCTGCCGAAAGTTGGGAGCCCCACAAGTGCTGGAAGTATTCAGGACATCTAATATGCCGTATACATCACGGACCATAAAATATTTCCCCTACACGGAACAGTAACAAAAAATGGAGAGATGTCAATGTGCAGCAGAAGGCAGTGTAAGTCAATTAATGTCTTCACAAAAATAACATGACTGAAAATCTGCAGAGAACCAGACAAGACTGTCCTATCACAGTCATTGCCTATTAAAGCTCAATATTCAGCAATATTATGCTGCAAAGCACCACTTGTTGGGCAGGGAACCAGAACAGGAAGGCTACATCATGTTTCTTGGCCTCTGTTGGCCATTATGAGAAATGGGATACTCATCTTTTGGCCCAGAAAAGCTCTTTTTAAATATTTTTATCACCACATCCTACTGAATTTCCGTGCATAATCCGCAACATTCACCTGGACAAGATAGTGTTCTGGAGTAGATTCTGTAATCCGCCCCACAGTATAGCTGGCTTTCAATAAGTCATCATGTATTTGAAATTCTTCCTTGCAGTTGTAACTGTAAGAAACACATGACAGAAATTGGTTGGTTTTTCTGCAACTACAATATGTACTGTGGTCAAACAAGCATCATAAGATTCCATTGCTTAGTTTTCTATTCACAGAAAGTTGATGCATCTTACCCAGATGGTAAACTCTGCAACAAAATAAATGAACAAGCGCACAGCTATAAGTCAAATCAGTTTGTTTAACTGTACTATTTTACACTGAACATATGTACGTACTGTTATGTAGTCTATACAAAATTACAATCCAAGTTGCTTTCCAGGATCCTGCTACTACCTGTCTGGCTGTAACCAATAAGAAACTCTCAATTCTTTGTTTCAAAGTGTGTAAACTTAGTAAGGCCAATATGGAATCTTAGATAATGGACTCAGTTGTGATTTATCTCATTTTTGTATTTATAAAAAAAAATATCAGTGCAAAAAGACTGAACAGGTTTTTAAGATTACCACCTAGGACAAAGCTATTTCTTTGTTTTCTCCAACAGCATCGTCAAAACCCCAAGATCCCACAGAGATCTAGAGAGGGCCCTAGGCATAATAATAGTATATGACTGAGTTCTGAGGATTGCTAGGATGTGTATGCACATATCCAGCAAAGAGAGAGAATTTCATAGAACAATAGTTGGAAGGGACCTTGGAGGTCTTCCTAGTCCAGCAGGAGACACTATACCAGGGGTAGGCAACCTTGGCTCTTTTATGACTCGTGGACTTCAACTCCCAGAATTCCTGAGCCAGCATGGCTCAGCTTGGAAATCTCTCTCTTTCCCCTCAGCATGGCTGGCTCAGGAATTCTGGGAGTTGAAGTCCACGAGTCATAAAAGAGCTAAGGTTGCTACCCCTGCACTATACCATTTCAGACAAATGGTTGGCCAATCTCTTTTTGAAAGAGCACCCACAACTTCTGAAGGCAAGCTATTCTATTGGCTCTTACCGTTAGGACATTTCTCCTTAATTCTAGATTGCTTTTCTCCTTGGTTAGAGATAAAGTTAGACTAAGTTAGACTAAGAAAGGGAAGCAGAGGATAATCTAAGGCAGGGGTCCCCAACCCCCGGTCATGCCAGCAACCGGTCCGCACAAACAAGGAAAGCCCCATCCACAGGATGCAGGCAGCAGACAAAGCCACGCCCCTTCTGGTCCACGGAAAAATCTTTCTCCAGGTAACCAGTCCCTGGTGCCCAAAAGGTTAGGGACCTCTGGTCTAAGGAGCTTGTGCAGATGGCATTTGGTAAAGCTACCTTTTAGGACTATTCTCTCTTTCTGTAAAAGCCATTTGTTGTTGTTCTTTGTTTTGTTTTTTTCAATATCCAAACTGGGGCTATCAGCCCATTAATGTTGCCTGTTCCTCATTTATATGCTTAAATTTCATAAACCAATTATAAAGCAAGTCAATTTTAAGGGGAAATAATACATACAAAGCTATGATCGGATTGGAAAAACCTCTTTTGGGAGAATGAGATGGACATTAATCCTGATTACTTAGCATTTATGTTCAGCTGGAAACCCATGTTATTCCTCTCTTGTTTTTAACTTGAAAGTTTTATATACCAAGAAAATCTTATTTTATTTTATGCTGTGGCTAATTTTTTTTTTGACTGGGGAATAAGAATAAGCAAGAGACTGCATTCAAACTGTCATATATAGGGCAGGTTTCTGTGTCTGAGTTACACCAACAAAGACCACTAACTACCAACATCCTGGGCTTTTCAAGATTTTTCTCCAGACCATTCCCATCTGAGGTAACAAAACCAGGTGAGGGAACAGAATTCCTAACCACAATCCATGTCAAATGGGCTATAATCAATTTAGTAGGCCACAAGAAGAAATGGCTCGTTTTACAGAAGCCTTTCTTAACTTGGTGTCCTCCAGATGTTTTCCAGATGTGCTACGCAGCCCTTGCCATCCCCAGGTATGAAGTACTACAAAGAGAACACACTGTCTCTTCTATCACACATTCAATACAAAATACGAAAGGAAAAAAATGTTCGGCTTCTTTTCTTAGCCTATCTCTTTATACAGATAACATCACAGCCATTAGAAGACAAGGCAGTTCCAGAAGACTGGGACAAAGATTAAAGGATCTGCAAGGGATATAACTGGTGGATGCAACTTACGTAATGACAACAGGCGCCACCTTATTAGTAATGATAGACTTGGCTTTGTTATTGTGGAGGCCAATGGTCTGGAAGGAGTGGATACTGAGGGAATGGTGATCCTCCATGGTTCCGCTGCCGTGAATATTCTCAAATGTTGCTGTTGCTACTGTCTGCTGAGCTGTGCTGGCAGTTGTACCCATAATCCACAGGCAACTGTATCAATAAAAATAATCAGAAGATGGAATAAGAAGGGGAAGGTTAAGACTTCAGTATTTTGCAAAAAGAGAGAGGGAAGGAAGGAAGGAAGGAAGGAAGGAAGGAAGGAAGGAAGGAAGGAAGGAAGGAAGGAAGGAAGGAAGAAGAAACAGGGAGAAAGAAAGAACACAAAAAAGAAATATATTTAGGAAAAAGCAATCAGAATTTGTTTGCATGTATTTATTATTAGATGGCTGAAGTCCCATCTGATGGCAACATTTAAGGGATGAGAGCATACCCACCCTATCTAACTTAGTAGGACAGACAGATACCTTCAGCGAGAGGTGCTCCCACAAGTAATCTGATCCTCTGCCACGTAGGTCTTTAAAGGTGATAACCTTGAATTGGACCCAGAAAGCAACTGGAAGCCAGTACAGTTCAGGTAGCAGTGGTGTTACTATTTGACATTGTTATCTTCCTTATTTCAGAACTGGAGCTTTCAGACTGTGTTCAAGAAAAACCTGATGATTCCTTGGACATTCTTCACAAAACTGTGAATGAAAGGCATAGCTGATGTTGCATAGGAATAAGGAGCCTACACAATCTTTTAGGCATCATTTAGACATGATAGCAGTGTTCCAGGATCTGAGGGGCTACCACAAGGCAGAGGGGGTCAGGTTGTTCACCGAAGGACAAGAAACAATGGTCGGAGGCTGATCAAAGAAAGAAGCAACCTGGAATTAAGGAGAAACTTCCTGACAGTGAGGTCAATCAACCGGTGGAACAGCTTGCCTCCAAAAATTGTGGGCGCTCCATCAGTGGAGATTTTTAAGAAAAGACTAGACAATCGCCTGTCCAAGATGGTGTAGGTTCTCCTGCTTGAGCAGGGGGTTGGACTAGATGACCTCCAGGGTCACTTTCAGCTCTATTTTATTCTAGGATATAAAGTCTTGGCATTCTATGGCAGATGATGGAGTTCTTGGCAAATGATTCAATGTTGAAAACATTGTCCAAAACTGGAAAAATCACAAACCAGAGATCTATCGCTGTACCCACGTCCATTCTGGCAACTCTGATGACTTCTAAAATAGTCTTTTGTTTAATAAAACAACATAAACACTGGTAAATAATCTGTAAAGAGAGTATGTAGAACCATCCATAATCCTGCAGTGTTGACCTGCAATGTGATTAGAGTTTCAGTCCTATTAAAGGAGTATAGTTAAACCAGGAGCACACCAAACAATGGATTGGGCCATAACTTTATTTGAAGAAGTTGAGTCAGCATGTTTTTTTATAGATAGTGACTGCTAGGCCAAAATATTAAAAAACATGGTTGAAATGTTTGCAAGAGCCAAGTATTCTAAGATTTTGACCATACACTCATTTTGGTATAAACATCTGCAGTATCCACATGAACTGTCAGCCATCTCCAGATCTTATCAACCATCCAAAGAACAAAACATTAGGTAGTATAGTAAGCATATTTTTTTTCATCCTATTCCATGATTTTTTTTTCTCAGATAGAATTACTGCTTCCATATCTTATAATATGCATGTAACTTTGACCAAAAAGCTCTGCTTCTGCAACTTGGCAGAATGCTATCATCTATAAATCCAAGTAGTATATATCTTCAGTGTATCATAAATACAACATTGTAAGCCATCAATAACTGCGATAAGCAGCGTGAAAGAAAATTGAACCAAAGTACTCAAAAATGACTTGCTATATTGTCACAGACACAACAAAGTGGAACTGTGCTTTATAGAAAAATCTGAACTCAAAGGATCTTATGAAGTGAACCACTGTCTGTAAAACACTATCAGTGGTTATGAATTTTTAAAATACCATAACCATGTGATTCTAAAAATTCATTTAATAAGCATGCCTGTATGCGTGCGAAACAAATTAAAATTCTTCTTTTTAAAGTTTATCACCATGAAAATTCTGCCCATCCATAAAATAGGAAAGACCATTGTTGGAATTAGCAACCAGAATTTCAGGAACAATTTCATGAAAAGATAAAAACACCCAATCAAAACATCTTGTCTCATGTTGACACAGATGCGATATATCATGGCATGGATTCTTTCAAAGAAGGTTGCCCAACCAATCAGTTTTCAGTTGCTTATATTTAAATTTAGTCACTTATTTGATCATTTATGTCTTTGCTTTTTTTTAAAAAAATTGGTAGCTATCTGCAGATACAATAAGGGCAGAGAAACAGTAATGTTTTGCTGTCCATATCATGGTGAGGTAGGCCTTCATAATGATGTAGCCCTTGTTCAATCATGTTTGCTCCTTGTCCTCTACCAGTGCTGTTCTAGGTATCTCTTCTACTGCTTCATCTCCTTTAGATCCTCAGTAAGCCATGTGCGAGTAGGCATCAATATACATTTTCTAAACATATAAAAATAAATAAACCAGAGGGAGTTCCAGGGCCCCGGGACAGGAGAAGTTGCTCAGATGCAATTTCTTTCTAAGCCCCAGACACCCTCATTCCAGATAGATGTTATGCTAGAGCCTGGGGCATCAGAGGTGTAAAGGATGTTTGTGATTTTTCTCAGTTACTATCTTCTAATTTTTGTATATGTGTTTGGTTTTATTCACTTTTAAGATTGTTAGCTGCTGAAGGACATTTGTTTGAGATTGGCAGGCCAAATAAATTGATTAAATATTTTTTTTTCCCTTCTAGTTCACTCTCAATTCCCCAGAACAAGAAGTTTACAAGACAGGTTCCAGCTGTTCAAAGCAGCTGGCTCCCTTCTAAGGATAAGACAGAGAGAACTGCTGTTGCAAATCTTGAAACACAGCTACATAGAACTGCTGAGAGCAGGACATCTTCCTTTTCTCGTTGTTCTTGCTATTCTCACCTTTGTGACTCATGATTCACCTGGAAAAATCCATTAACCACCCCTAGTCTAAGCACAAATTACTCTGAGTTTAAGGGAATGGTACATAGTCTTTGTACAAAATACAGACTGCATCTCTGTTTCCTATGCTAGAAAACAGACCTCCAAATGCCATTCTTTTGTGATTTCCTTGTATCTCAACCCACTTAGAAAAAAAACATAGAATCCTAGGGTTGGAAAGGACCTTGTAATACATGTAGTCCTCTACTTAACAACAGTTCATTTAGTGAAGGTTCAAAGTTACAACGGCGTTGAAAAAGTGACTTAGGATCATTTTTTACACTTACAGCTGCTGCAGCATCCCCACAGTCACGTGATCAAAATTCAGGCACTTGGCAACTGACTCATATTTATGACAGCTGCAGTATCCCCGGATCATGTGATCCCCTTTTGCAACCTTTTGACAAGCAAAACCAATGGGGAAGCCTGATTCACTTAACAAGCGTGTTAGTAACTTAACAACTGCAGTGATTCACTTAAGAACTGTGGGAAGAAAGGTTATAAAATGGGACAACATTCACTTAACAAATGTTTCATTTAGCAACAGAGGTTTTGGGCTCGATTGTGGTCAAAAGTCGAGGACTACCTGTATTATATATTAGCACCAGCTTGGATTCGTTTTGTTTTGTTCCATTTGAGGAGACAATTTCAGAATGAAAATTTGAAATTCAATATTTAGACAGCCAAAATAGGAAAACAACATCCTAGAGAGAATTGAACTAATTTTATATTTTCTTAAAATACTGTCATTTTGGGTTAAGGGTCTACGACAGGGGTCTGCAACCTTGACAACTTTAAGATTTGTGGACTTCAGCTCCCAGAACTCCTCAGCCAGTCTTAAAGTTGTCAAGGTTGCAGACTCTTGGTCTAGGACCTTCAGGCACGGACCCTTGGCCATACCTCTTTCTCCTCCCACGTCCCCACAACACTAGAATCCATGTTTAGAATAGAATAGAATAGAATAGAGCTGGAAGGGACCTTGGAGGTCTTCTATTCCAGCCCCTTGCTCAAGCAGGAGAACCTATACCATCTCAGACAGGTGAATGTCTAGCCCAGGGGTAGGCTGGCTCAGGAATTCTGGAAGTCCATGAGTCATAAAAGAGCCAGGGTTGCCTACCCCTGGTCTAGCCTCTTCTTAAAAATCTCCAGCGATGGAGCGCCCATGATTTCTGGGGGTAAGCTGTTCCATTGGTTGATTGTCCTCACTGTCAGAAAGTTTCTCCTTAATTCCAGGTTGCTTCTCTCTTTGACCAGTTTCCAACTATTGTTTCTCATCCTTCCATCTGGTGCTTTGGTGAACAACCTGGCCCCCTCTTCTTTATGGCAGCCCCTCAGATACTAGAACACTACTATCCATGCTGGCCTTGCTCCTCCTCCACTCTTTTGTTTGAGTTGCCAGCCAAGCTGTTTTTATGAAGCCCCCCTTCCTGGTTCCCCCCCAACAAACCTGACCTTTCTGCCCCCCCCCCACCTGTGGCCCCAGCGGCTGCTACTCCTGCTGCCACTCCCCCTCCCTCCGGTCCTGGTGACAGAGTTGCCAGGCCCCAAAACTTGCAGAGGAGCCGCAGCATTTTTTTTTAAAAAAAAAAAAAACATCGTCCATTGCAGGCTGTCCTTGCAGAACCCTGGCTTCCTGCCTGCCACCTGATTGGCTGGCGGCTACCTGTCCCATGCAGCCAAAAGCCCAGGACAAAGGGTGCCTGGGCGAAAGGGCCGTGCCAAAGTGCGTGGGGCGGTGCACAAGGGCCCCATTGCCCAGGGAGAATGGGCGGGGGAGGGCCAGCCGAGGAGAAATGCTGGAGGCAAATGGGCTGAGGCAGGACGTGGGAGAAGGGGGTGTGGCCAAGGGTCCATGCCTGAAGGTCCCCTTCCGTCTGGTTAATGCTTATTATAATGTATAACACACTTTGCCATCGTACATTACGGCAAATATTATATCACTTTTCTGAATAATTCAGAAAAAAAATAGCTTTTGAAAGTCAGACAAATTCTCTTCTAAAAACAGGTAAACAGAAAAATGAATAGCAACTTAAAATAGTTTATATTTCTTGAACTGTACTCTACCTTCGTGAAGGACAAAGTCATTTACATTTTGTCTTAACCAGGCAAAAGGGATTGCCACTTATTTCCAAAACAACTGGGAATAACACTGTAGCTTTAAAAAAGCAAAAAGAATAAACCAAGAAGCGTTTTAATTTCTTTGGAAGAAGTTCCACATTCTACAAAATCATGCTTGATTATTGAGAAACCTTCTTTCTCAATAAACCTACACATCCTTCCTGCATCTCCATTCCCTTTAAATCACTGTCTTCGTTCTAAAATCATCAGGTCTGTGCTCTACGTTTCTGGTACTTCATGCAACACTTAGAAGCATATGGACAGCTGAAGAGTCTACAGTACTCAGGAATGCTGGTTGGGAACTTTTAAGAAACCAGCTTAAGGGAAGCTGAGTTAGCCTATTGTTTAATTTCATCCATCCCATGTGATGTCTTTGGAGAAGCAGATGGGATTGAACATGCAGTTTGAGGAGGCATGTTGTGGAGCACCTTCCCCAACCTCAGCTCCCCCTCTTGTGGGGAAGAGTACCAAGTAGGGGGAATGTGTGCACTGGAAATTTGGACGGAATTACAGGCCAACGTGGCCAACCACACCATCAGAA